GAGTATGCTTTGCAATCAGCATTTCACTTCCGACTTCCAAAACTGTTGCGCCGAGCGTTTCTTCAAGAACGCATCCAAAAAGTGGTGCAAATGTGGAAAAAAGCCACATGCGATTCTCGAGAGAGCAGACCCAAGAAAGATGTTGAGTAAAAAACGGAAAATATATGATTGTCGACGTATTAGTACCTGAAATAAAAAGGTTAGTTATTTGTGCGCGCACGCTTGCGTTAAAAGATCACACTCACAAGTGTTTTTGACGTTGTTGTTTTATTTTTATTGGCGTTATTACAACAAGTAGTTTGGAAGATACCTGAAAATCAAATCATCATTAGTACTTATAACTAATTACTCTATAAATTAAGGTTAAATTTAAAAGAAATCACACAGACAACATATTCATTAATTAAGTCTTTTTATTGAATTCAGTTCGCCGATTACAAAAATTAAGTAATCTATGTACGACGGGTGCGCTTCTACAAGAATTTGGCGTCTGAGTGAGACTGAGGTGTGTGACATGTGTCCATAAACCTTGACACCTCGAATGAAACACACCAGGGTCTTCCAGACGATACGCAGGGATATTAGGCGGCTTGCTATCGAAACATCTTCGATACCAAACCTTCACATTTTTCGAAGCCGAATCCGGAATCAGATCGAAAGTCGAATCGAAAACTAGAAAAAGCCGAATGGACCGATCCGAAAATCTAATCGCCTAACAAAGAAGAAAAATTCCACATACCTTGTGCCACATCGAATTCTTACTTGGACTGATTGATGTGGGGCAAGGTTTGCGTTAGCAAAGAACCTTCTTACAAAAACAAGTTGCCGTGGACCGGAAATTCAATTTGTCGTACGCTATTCGAGACCAAGCGAGTCTGCTCCTTGGGCAAACTTTGTACCAACATCAATCAGCCCTACCTTATATGGGATGCTGTACTCTGTCATCATGTTCCTCCACCAAAAGACCAATGATACTGGGACGTCCCACAGTCCAAAAGACCAAGGCGTAGATATGTATAGTCGATGACGTTGTTGTTGGTGCTGTTTATGTTGTTGTTGATAACTTCGAGTTGTTGCAAAGAAGAAGTCCGGCCGGCCAATTAAAATTACACTATTATTCAATATTAACAACTGTCTTAACTAACATTGGACTATCCGAACGTGGGATCCGAGGTGAGATGAAATTCAGCTTCTGCGCGGAGCAGTTTCTGGAATTGCTCTCTAGTCTCCATTTGCTTTTTCCAAGAACAATAACGATGATTTCACTGAAAATTTTCAAATTCGTTCCCACATGGGAGTATAATTGGGGATAATATAAGAACTTAATTATGGAAATCTCAACGTTAGCTAAGACAGTTCTTAAAAGTTATTTCTATATGCTGTCTTGTCTGACATTACCTTGCCTTCCTAATCATGAACTCGTTTACACTAAGATGTCATCGGCTTCTGTTTGCATAGAAGCAGAATGACGTCTTAGTGTAAACGATCATGAACACCATTGTCGCAATCATCACCATCGTCATCATCATCATCGTTATTGTCGGTTTTGTTTCCGTGATTTCTCGTCTCTGTTCATTGCTGCAAAGGAAACTAACTCGTCTACTTAAGTAAATGGACTACTGGACTAACTTTCTATGGATCTCCAAGTTCTTTGTTCTTCTTTCTTCGGCCGGCTTCTTCCTTTGATTTAGCACTGGACCCACAGTACATTATGACACAGTTCAAACAAATACATTTTATTCATATTTCCAACATTTTGTTACAAGATTCGGAAAAAGTTGTAGAAACAGCGTGCTGCAGGATTCAGTCCCAGTCATGACGTACTTTACGAGCTGTCGGAGGAAGAACGCTGCTGATGACTTCCGGCGAAAAAAGAACGAAGAAACCAATAACCACGAACGGTCGACGTGAAGACTACGTACGCCTACCATTTGTAGACGATCTGGGCCTGCGTAGTGCAATGCAGGACTTCCTAAGAAGAAAACTCTCCAACTAGGCAACATTAACAGGAAGACAAATCAAATCGTCTTAGTGTCAATGATGCCACAACCAGAGTATCCTCTCCTGCTACTTACTGAAAGACTATCTATAACCAGCGAGGTTTTCACATGAATGCCATTGAGGGACACGCATATCAAGGTATGGTTGGCCTCCACATGTGTGTCCCCGAAATATTCGGCCCAGTAGCATTCTCGTGATCACTTCGCAGGCTAATAACTCTTCTAAGAGCATATCCGGGGTTTGCTCTTGGTCCTCCAACGGTGAAACTGCTTCGTAGGTTTGGTCTCGAAGACTTCCTACGCTTACGATTTGTAAACGATCTAGCCTATGGTGTGTGAGTTGTCCCATGTTACCCTGGTAACCTACAACAAGGTGTTGGCTCCTCGCAGGAAGAATCGCCTGGTCGCAGATTACCTTTAGTGTAAGACTAAACCTGTTAACTAATCTACCATCACAAGTTCGAAGTCTGCAAATGCGCATCAAAAAATTTCACTTCACACTTGTACTGTTTGACATCAAAAGCCAAATTGGTTGGAGCAGACACGAGTTTGTAATGCTAAACTAACTATCTACCTGTAACCAGAGAGACCACTAAGCTTGTAAGCAGTGACCAAATGGGGTCCTCTCACAATAGCTGAATGATCTGAAGTCTCTAGTTTACTAATTTATGTCTTAGAACAATCACAGTCTGGTTGAACCTTGCGAATGAAAGCTTCACTTGACCAGCGCATAGACTCTCAAGTGAAGTGTGATAGGTCAATTCAATTGGCGCAACTACTGCGGGAGTTGTACTGAAGACGACGACGACGACAACGTTCGGTGCAAATCTAAAAAAGGCGCAAAAAGATGCAACCGAACCGTTCCGAAGATGCCAAACCGAATCCAAAAAGCCGAATCTATCCTTAAAAGCCGAACTCCTGTCGCTGACCGAACACCTGCAAAGGAACCCAACCTATGAAAAAGGGGAGGGGAGGGGAGGCCCTTACCAGCCCGGGGAGCCCCGCTAAATAAGCTAACTACAATTAAGTTAAGCCGAAAAAAGAAGTCCGGAGTCTTCAGGCCGAAAGTGTGTGGAAAGTATGCCTTGCAAGGTTCATCCAGAGCTCTATTTACCCCCCTTGACCCAACCCATAAAGAATGCACCTAACCTGTACCATTTCAAGAGACTGGGTATGCTGTGCTGATTGGATGCTGAGTAGTCAAGGATGGTGGTCTGTGGTCTGATGGAGTGATGTGAGTTGGTGGTCTGGTGTAGCAGTGGAGGTCTGATCTGAGGGTCTGATTTGGTAGTCTGGTCTGATCATGGTCTGTTGTTGTCTGATCTGGGGTGGGATCTGATAGTCCAGTGTGGTCTGATTTAAAGGTGGTTCTTGGATGGACTCTTTGGGTCATCTAATCTGGAAGTCAGCCAAAGGAATATGGTCTGGTCTGAGGGCTGCAAATCGAAAACATAACAAGCTGAGGTGATAGTGGTAAAATTCTTTAGTTAAGTGCAGAAAGCTGCGTATACGTAAAGAGGAAAGGAGAAAAATTAAAATACGGGAAACACTTGATCTTTCTAATTCAGATGCAACTTTGAAAAGCTCTTTGACCCGAAAAAGGTTTGCAAAAACCCAACCAAACTCACTCAGGTTTTTGGTGAAGATCGTTTCTATTCCTAATAAGTATTGTAAATTGCAGAGTTCAACATCATAGCAATTATACAGGCTCCATCGCAATTTATTTACGCGAGAGTTCACGCGAGAGGTCGCAGGTGATGTAGTCATATCATATGAGGACTGGCTCTGGTGACAATCTTTGCGAATCTTATCACTGTTTATAGCCATTCCAAACTATATTGGGTGTATGTTTGTAACTCTTATTCCATCAATTAATTTTCTTCATTTCTATTAAAGTTTGATCGAATGTTTTAAAAATAATGAGCAGTCTCATTTAAAGGTGATGTTACAGGCGACGATTCACAAAGACGATTTTCACGGCAATACAGCGTTGTAACGTTGGAACAATGTGGTAACTATTCGAAACAATGTCGCAACAATGTTGCAACACTGTGTTGCGCTAAAAATTATCATTGCGAATCGTCTGGTGTAATATCACCTTAACGTACAAGAAAGCCGTATATAATTTTATATATAACCTCAATAAATTTCAGCTTTTCCAACCTAGTGTTTGCGAAAGCGGAAACGAAGCAGCAGTTAACGTTCACAAAAAAAATGTTCTAAATTGCCATATTAAAGTGTTGACAGCCACGGCCCCTCGCGTGTCCCATCTTCGACAGTTCAGTTTAAGTATATGGCACTTCATCATTCTGTTAAACATTTCAATATCTTCAAGTATGTACAGTACCCGCACTGCCTGCCTCGAATAGCTTTAGCTAAATGTAGACAGTGTGTATGTTTAATGTATGTCTTTGCGTTTTAACAAAATGTTCGTTGTTGTTGAATAATAAGAAATTCACGAAAGCATCTTTTGCAAACTTCGAGGCTTTCCGCCTTAGCTTAAGTGCGGTGGCCTCATTTGTGATATTAAATTCGCCACGAGATGTTGTACACCGAGAAACAAATGGATCAAATTTGTCATTTTTGAAAATTTATTTCTTGGTCACCAATATAAATTTGGAAGAAAGGAAAAACATGACTCGCTGGGCTACTTTTATCTGGAATCAGTCTCCACTGAGTTTCACTTGTTTTTTAGTAACAGCCACGTGCACGACCTTGTACGAGCTACGAAGGGCTTTCAAAATCATGTAACTATTATGCTTGAGCGGGTTACATTTCCACTCGCTATTTCCTCACTGCGAACAAATATTTCAACTTTAAAACGAGAACATTCGACAAAGATGTAACTAAATTTTAAGTTGGACTTGCCAGAATTATAATTTTCAACCGAACTGACAACAACTTTATCAAGTAACTTACCTCGTGCGCTGGTTTTAATATCCCAGGCGGCTTTCATAGTTAGCTTTCGTATAGTGAAGCTGATAGAGACGGATATCCTGTTTATGAGAGCGTCGTGTTTCTCTTTCGTGAGTAACCTTTGCAAGCAGCTTCTTTTTGCAACCGAAACTATCAATTTTTGAATGAAGCGCGGGGTAACGTTTTGATTTGAATACTAATTTCTGATTGGAGGTTTGTCGCTGCACGTGTCTATGTGGTATGAACAAGACTGTTGTTTACCTCATACACCTCGGGGCTTTTGGGAATCGTTTAAATATAAATTCTTTGAAAAGGTCTTGGGCAAGTGAAGTATTTTATTAATTAAATTTGGTGGGAAAGGAAAATGTAAAGGAAAAACTGACAAATTTCCTGTAAACGAAACCTGACTAGCGATTGTTTTACGCAAAAAATTGTAAAGCCTGATCACTATTTTACTGGATTTTGCGGTTTCAAATCAATGCAGCTCAATGATAAAACTGTATTCAGGGTTTTTTGTATGGAACTCGTACTTTAGTCGGGACTCCTTAAGGAGTCTCAAAACTTGACTTTTCGGACCATTTTGTGTCCACAAGAAATTCTGCGAAGATACCTCACGAGCTGGTATTGAAAAGGGGTAAACCTGGCAGCCTGTAGTGTGCCATGTTTCGAGCGAAATTCTAAAAGGGCACGATAAAATGATCTAAAAAGGGGTTAATATATAACAGGGATGATGACTGATTATTCTTATTTCTCTTGAACGATTATGCCTTGCAATGCAAGTAGACTTAAGTGCTCTATACATGACGCACTAAAGGTTTTGACTGATCATTTATTAATAAAATCACAGAGTGCTGTCTATTCTTTTCGCGAACTTCGACACAAAAATCACGATTTCCTAATTTAGTACAACTGTGGCTTGAAGCATTGCCATAAATCGCGATCTACCAAATAAAACACAACCCCTTCTAAACGTCCATCATTCCTCAATGTCTCTGTAAATTTTTATCTAAATTTCCACTTAAATAGCCGAGATGTCATATAAGCGTTCGAAAGATGTAGCACAAGCAAAATTTTGCCATATCAACCTATTCATAGATAGGTGTCCCCCGCGTCCTTAGGCGAGCGAAGCGAGGGGCGCTTCTCCCTCGCGTGTGTCTAGCCCTCCTCGCTCGCTTCCCGGGCCTTCGCACGCTTGGAAAACGCAAAAAATAACGCGTGTTATGCAGGCTACAGGAGTAAAAGAGATTGGACTGATATTTTATTACCCTTTAATAGAACAAAAGACAAAATGCACGCCGAAGCAAATTCACGTTATAGTCACTGCTTTTGTATGCTTAAAGTACAATTCATCTAGAAAATCGTGCAGGCAATACCCTGTTGACAGACCCACACGAAATTATATACCCTGTTTAGGACAGACTCACACTATGGCTCGCTGACCCTAATGAAATGACTGCAATCGGGTAGCGAGGATAACTTCTCGCTCTTTCTTTCTGGTGGTCACTTTTTGAATAAATTTAATGTCATGGCGGCATAGCCGGTAAATACACGAATACAGCCTCAGGTAGCCCGAGCTCAAATAAGCGCCGGTACTGATGCGTAAACATGGTGGGTCTTAGTTTGGGACTGCATCGCGGCTTAGAGTTGATGTTTGTCTAAATAATGAACCAGGATTTGCACAGCCTATCATTTTAGAACCAGTGTTAGGTTTCGCATCTATCATTACCGCAAGGGCCAGTGATAGTTTTAACAAATGTTAAGTAAACTTACTTCAGGCTAGTAAACTGTAAATCTACAGCAATAGTACTGCTTGTAGCCACATATTACAATGGTAGGGAAACTCAAGGATACGCTCATACACTTTTTTTAAGAATGCTGTTTTTCCGGCCTAGGCTGAATAATCTTATTTTTTTTTTGTCGATTTTAGACTGAATATATTCTTGAATGAATTATTCTTAATTAAAAAATTATAGCTTATGTCATTTTCTGCTTTAGAATGTATGATTTCAATTACCAATGTCAAACATAAAATGTACTGTATTTAGAGATTTTCAAATCCTTCTCAAATTCTTAGCCTCGAGATTATTCCTAAAATATTCTTAAAATTTATTTTATATTATAAAATACATTCTCATCGAAAAAAAAGATTGTATACCCTCAAGGCGAGTACTTAGAGCATAGCAGTCTAATTCTTAGCAACTGATTTTTCCATCAGATTTCAGGTCTTGGCTTATTTGAGTTCGTGTAGATTTCTGTCTTAGTTTCAGAGAAACCCTACCATATCATAAGGAATTTGGCTACGAGGATACACAAACCATGCACAGTCTTCTAATCTTTTCCTACCTTAGATTATGATCATTGACTAATTAAGCAGAGCCAGCATGCTGAATAACATACGCTTACAAGCAAAGCACAAATTGCAAGGATAACGAACGCGTCGCGTTTCCGCTGCTGCAGTCTGGCTGTTAACCGATGCTTTGAGTCCGATAACGCCACATTTTCCCTTGGAAATTTCAGGGCGGGAACATTACATCCAAGAAAGGTGCACAGAGGTTTCCAGCCTTGATTTACGTTGTAAATCAACAGTTTATCCTTTGGGATGACTGCTTGCACTCGCTCGTTGTGTTCGCGGTATTTCTTCTTGAAAAGGACAGTAGACTTTGAATTTAGGCTTCCAAAAGCTGCTGTTAACATAGCGGTATCACGGAGCTGTAAGACCGGTGGTTTTCTCCGTATCCAATGCATGATTACATAAGGCCACTTGATAATCAGCCTGTTAAGTAATCCGCCTTGCGTCTGATCAAATTCGTTTTGCTTGCTAAAACTTTTCACCCAAATTTCTTCGTCGTCTCTTAAAGTAAGAATGACTTGCGTATCCGGAAAAGCTTTGTAGATTTCTTGAAACCAAAACACGGGGGGTAAATCGGCCACAGCGTCGATATCTTTGTACATTGCTGCAAAATCCGGGGATTTTCCCTTGAAATAAACATCGAACCATTGATCAAGATGAAATTTCCTGTGTTCCGCAGAATCAAACACTGTAAAGCCAAGGATTCTTAAAGCTTTAGCCAGGGATGTTTTTCCTGTCTTGCACAAGCCTGCACAAATAACCTTCATTTCGCACCTTAATAGTCAGCCCACAAACGGATGACGCTAATATCTTGTCCTGAAAATTAACTTTTTTCTGATATCTTTCTGACTAAAAAAGATACAGATACCTATTATTCATTCAAAATATTTCCCCGATTCTGATTAATAACAGCACCCGCATAATTCACCATAACCAGTTACTGATGACCAAATTTGGAAGAATTTTGTGGTTAACGAGGAAATGAGACGTCAAAACTGCAGCGTTCTCGCAGGTTAATGCACCGTTAACCGAGAAGACCTGGGGACGAGGTTGAGTTGTTTTGGTTGTGAAAACAAAAAATGGCGGACATTTCACTCGTTTCAAGAGTAAGAACTAGGCGAAATTATAGCTAAGAACATGGCAAGAACAGCAAGAACACAACTCGAATGGCGACATCTGCTATTTGGAGATTATTTGCGGAGCTGAACAACCCTAAACGTGCACTTAAAATCGATGGAGGTACTGCATGTTTTAGCTTTGTTTTTAAACAAGGAATTATTTTGAATGAATAATAAAACAATTATTGAATTCGGCTTTCGTATCATATGATCGAAGAATTATGGAGATCTCGGTCTCCATAATTCTTCATGAGATACTCAGCTTCATTCATTAATTATTAAATATATCGTCTCCGATTTCGGTACTCGCTGACAGTCGCAGCCAGAATTTTTCTCAGGGATCGTAGAGTGCGCGAGCGTGAAAATCGCCTTTCCTCGCTCGCAGCGACTCTCACGCGTGCTCGAGTATTTCGTTTTTTTCTGTAGTTTAGTCTAGGACGGATCTAGGGCCCGTTTCTCCAGAGTCGGCGGTAACTTTTCGGGCCCGAAATGAAATATTCAAATCGAAATAAAAAGAATGAGAGCGCAGGTCCTGGCTAGCAAAATACTCCACTTTGTTTCACCTTGTTTTGTCATGTAAGATGCAAAACTATCAGAAACTTCTTTCTTTCATGCAAACAACAACAGCTTTACAGGCCCGTTAATTATCGGGACTTTCGAGAAACGGTCCCCTAGACTCTGGTTAAAGCATATAACCCGAATCGAGGAATTCCCGCACATTCGTGTAGAAGAACAAAAGCCAATACCAGAAAGATTCTCATTGTGCGCCTACGATAGACAACTTTAAAAATTTTCAATGGACAGGAAAGTCGGAGGTCTTATAGAACACTGATCGATTGTAGCAGTGGAATTTTTTAAAGAAAATCTATCGACGAATTTTGATTTAATCGCTGTTTTCGAGAAAGTAGCCTTTGCAATTACAAATAGCTTTCAGCACTGCGTTTTACAGTGATTAACATGCCTTTCGTGTTTTTCGAAATGGCGCAACTAGTCTACTTGCGTTTAGGCGGACAGGGGCGGATCCAGGATTTTTTTAGGAGGGGGTGCTCTCGTCTCTTGCTCTACTTCAACACCAATAAACCACATAGTTTTTTTTGCAGAATACCAGTTGTATTAGAAAACAGCAGGTCATCTCAGAGGGGGGGGGGGGGGGGTGTGCACCCCCTGCACCCTCCCCCTAAATCCGCCCCTTCTGAAACATGCAAAAAGTAGTAAATTTTTCTGCATTAAGTCCAGTCTTCAGTTCATGCATAATCAGGAGCCGATGCTCCTGGCATAATTTATGTCCTTTTTGTAGGAATTCCAAGGTATCTTGAAATTCCTGTTATAGATTTTTTGTGACCCTTCGCTCAACAGACGACAAGCATCTAAAGTATACCGCTAGGTAGCATCAAGAAATGCCGATTTAGAGCTAAAATTATTGTGATGTCATTGTCACGTGATATTTATTCCGATCGCCCAAAAAATAATATCATAATAACGTTAAAACGTCTATGTGTAATACATTTGTTATAATGGTTTTACAATAAAAATAAATTTGTTCAAGTCTGAGAGATTCAAAGATGGAAGGTGTAGCTACAAAATACTGGGTCGCACCACCTTAAATGACCCTTAGTACCCCCGCCCCCCCCCTCCACCTCCACTTGTTTCATGATAGCCGATAAACCTCTCTTAGTTGTGTCCATTAATTAAAAATCTTTAGCATTTTTCCTAATAGGAAGTCACGCCGAGTCTGCTAAATATACTTTGGCGATTTTTTGTTGGGTTTTGCCTCAGCTGCTTTTTGTTTGAACTCAAAATATTGCCGTCATTTTGCATTTAATTGTCAGGTGCTAAATTAGATAATCCCAAACTCAAAATGTCTCCATTCAGCGTGGATAATGCAAATAAAAAATCGTTTTAGTATGTCACTAAAAGAACAATGCAGAAAGCGTTGGGTTTTGTTCCCGCCATTTTTGTTTCTAATTGACTAAACAATGGCAGCTCCTTATTTGGAATAATAACAATCCATTTGCTCTGACAATCCAGCCAATCAAGACCTAGACTGACTCGCGTCGTTTCCCAAGCGCGTTCGATTGTTGTGTGTGTTCCAGTGGAATGACTTCGAGATGGAAACGAACAAATAAATATATAATCACCAAAAGATCATTCGGCTTCGCAGCTGGAAGTAGATTGCTTGAAATCGGTCCTTGAGAGTTGGTCTGATGACTTCTGTGACGAAAGATCTCGGAGAGAGTTTTCTGCAAAGTGGAGAACTTCTGAGCGAGGACGATGATAGCGACAGCGTCCTAGCAGACGAGTTACGAGGGATGTATCGGAACAAGCTGAAAGACATGGATAAAGTGGACGAAAAAAGAGATGAAGCACACCGGGTAAGGTGGATCTAATAATTATTATCCGTGACTTTCCACGCAAAATCATTCGATCTTGTAAATTTCACATCTTTATACAACGGCGACCCCTGATCATATTATCCAGCTGAAAGATCGATCAAGCCGTGAAGTGATCGAAGGAAAATAAGAAAAGCATGCCTCGATTCTCTTATATACAGCTATATGTTGAGATTTTTCGATTGTCTCTGTTATTTCTGCAATTTTTTTTTCAAATCCTTTTAATTTCCGTTTGTATCGAAGGCCGTTAGCCATTTAGCGAAGCAGCGAAACAGGCCAGCGGTCCTCATTGCGAGTCTGCAAACCGGCGAGCTGAAAAGCGCTTCTAAAATGCGCGAAAGTTGAGAAATTTTTCACGTCAATACGCCTCTTCCAACATCCTCAGAATGCTACGGATGTGGGACAAACGAAAACTCATTTCGTTAGTAACCACGAGAAAATGTATGGTTGAGTAGCAGTTTGTTTACATTGTCCCCGTTTTGGTCACCGAGGCATGTAATATTGAAACAGGGCAGACACGCTGAAATATTACAATGGCTAATTCCGATGTAAGTAAGCCTTTTACCTGGTGGTTTTCTTTCCGTTATGATGCATTATATTACATTAATATTTTGTACTTTTGTTTTTTGTTTATTTCATTTCAAACTATTGCAAGCACTAGTTGTGCTTTTAATCTTATCAGCAAATCTAATCTGCAATAAGTCATTAAGCTTAATTTGTCTGAACATAAAGTTTTAATTCTTTGAAACGAAAGTTTATCTGGTTGTTGAAATCAGATGACACATTAAACTGTTCGAAATGAAGTTATGAAACAGTAAAATATTTTGTTCCGCATTCCAATTTCCAAAATATTATCTTTACAAAGTAATATAAAGATGTATTTTCTTGACTTATCCTCTTTGGCATAATTATGTTAGACTAAGACTGGCTTTTATAAGAATTTTTGATCAACGAGTTGAGCATCAGTTATCTTTACATACTCAGGCAGGGATTTCAATTGAAGTAACCTGCAGGCTTGAATAAAGTAACCGACTGTACTAACCTGTGGGCCTTGACATTTACATTCAGATTTTATGACATATTTGTCGTTTACGACATTGTAAACACTAGTTGTTTCTTCTTTCGGGGACAACAGTAGCTGAATTCTCTGAGCAAAGTAACTGATGAGTTTTGTCAGTCGTCAGTGCTTATTGAAACCCCTGCTTAGGGCTAGGAAAAATTTCCCATCCAGCAGTCCATGACAAGCAGCTTTACTTGCTAGGCAAGCAACTTTTAAAGCTTACTTGCCCAATTGGCAAGCCAGAGTCCAGGCAATTCATCCTCCAACAAAGTCATTAACTAAGACAAGCGAAAAGTGGCCCTTGGCAAGTGAAATGTGACGGCTGCTAGCCCAAAGGACAAGCTGGAATTTAATTTTTTTCGAGCCCTGATTCTGTAAGGCATTAGTTGGGTCATCTCTAAATAGGTAAGGGTAATTGGGTACTCTGGAAATGAAAGTGTTTGATACTATAGTTTTGCAAAATTTGGGAAGCAAAACTTTTCAAAAGAAAACATTGAGTTACATTGTAATTCCCTGGAACGGATGAGAAGTGTTTTAAAAAATTAAATAACTTTGTTATTTTTTCTAGCACCAGCTTCAATCACTACAGTCTTATGTGAATGAGTTAAGCGATCAAAATGAGATTCTTGTACAGACGGTTGAAGAGCTCGAGCGGGAAGCAAATGATCGCGTGGCTCTGGTGGAGGGTAAACTTCAAAGAACTACTTATTCCCTTAAGGTGCGTTGTAAATTCATTATAAGAGCTGTTAATGTGAGAGCTATGTGATTTTTGGGGCCATAGTCCCATCTGATCCATTCTCTCTTTTGACTGAATTGTACTTTTTCTTTTACATGGTACGGTCAATTCTCTCATAGCAGCCGGACCACTTCTCGTAAGCAACTCACCTCCTATAAGCGGCCACTTTGTAAATAACCATTTCGTTTCTCAGTCAAATACTGTTTCAAAAACTCTCGTAGGCAACCACTTCTCAGATTTTTAAAGCGCCCAGGTTGCGACCACTTTTAAGACCAGAAATTTGACATGATTCTTTTGTTTTCTGTTGTCAGTAACTGACCACCGGGCATGATCACGTTTGATTGTAAGAAAACCATTGCTCAAATGTCAAAAGGGTTCAGTTTTTTTTAAAATAGCGCTGACCAAGCTTGCTGACAGATTATAGCAGTTGATTTACAAAATAGATGGCTATGATATGATCTGTGGGTAAAAAGAGTGGACTGTTAAATTGTTGAAAAATGTTATGTACAAAGGTTCAACAGTAAATTTCAACAGTTCAAAGTGCTGTTTGACATGAAACATTATTTCCGGTTGTCTATTAATTTAGGTTGTAAGGGGATAACTTTATGCAGTTATATTAATCAGTTCAGTTTGAGCTTATTTTCCCCTGTAAGTGACAATTTTTTCCTGCACTGAGGGTGGTCGCTTACAAGAGAGTTGACTGTATCTGAATTATATGATGGCGGCAAAATGCAGAGTCACAACACAATCAATTTCTGTGGCAACTCAATGAATATTACCACAGAACAATAAGTGCAAGGCGGCAACACACAATAGTGCACCAAGGACCCACAGCTAAAGTCAACAGACTCGGGGTAAAGCAAGAAAAGTGTTACCCTGGCATTGTAGCATGATTACATTTGCAGTCTAATTTCCCAGCATTTCGTACGAAAGAAGCCAGGGTTGATGCATGTAGTATGTAGCTGGCTGGGTCAAAATCCCCCGTCCCTGGCCTAGCTCTTAGTGACAGCCCTGGATTGTAGTATGGCATTTAACTCATTTAATCAATGATGATTGTTTAAACAAGTTAACATTTTTATGAATGTAGGAACACATGGGAAGAACATCTGAACTAGAGCACCAAGTGGACAAGCTGAATAACGAGAAGAGAGATTATGTGGAAGAGATAAAGGTGAGTTTTATAAAATCTGTTATTATGGCTATCACTCAGGAAATTTTTTTTTTTTCATAAAGCAGTAGTCACTCAAAGTCTAGTAGATGGTATCAAAATTATTATTATGGCAAGTTATTGATGATTACTACAGTAACATTCAGGAATTGAAATGTTTTATGAAACCCATCAACTAAGACATCTTGCATACACTACTCACTTAAATATGATATGTGTGATCTTACCTGTAGCTTATCAGAATGACTGAATAGGGGAAGAAATTACTGTGTTATGATCGTGAGCTGACTACTGCACCACTATTGTGATTATCGTTTTGGCAGGCTATCACCCCATGATCAATGTAAAATTTTTGCAGGGGTACTCACAGTATTTTTCGAAGTAACATCCATATAAACTATACTTTCTTTTCCTGTGTCCTTCTCTATCAGGTATAATATTTTTATCATCAACCATTCTATTCACATGTAACCTTATAAGTAATTGTTTTGTACCTGTAATTTGTTTTGTTACCATTGATAGTCTTTGAAGGAAGAGCTAAATGTAACAGCCCAACAGCTTGCACATCTGGAAACTCGCCAAGAAGACTTAGACTATGACATTGATAACCTGGTGAATCTGATTGGTACCGCGAGAGCCACAGGAAAATGGGAAGTATGTTTGACAGAATATTGAAGTATTGTACACTAACATTACAGTATAAAAATGCTGCCCTCAAACCTGTATGAAGTGATCACTGACTCTTAAGCACAGGGTTGCCCTTTTCAAATTAAGCAGCAGGTGAATTTCCTCTTGTAGGCAGAAAAATCTTTGTGCACAAGACCCCCTTTCAGTGGAAAGACTGCAAGGTTTGCTTAGTTTCCGGCAACGAGCCTCTTTACAGGCAGCAAAAGTTGTCCGTCACGGGCCACCAACGAAGTGGCCATCACTGTAAAGCTGACATCCGTTTACAATAAGGTTAAGTCATGTTATACACTAAGTACAGTGAAACCCTCAAAAAACAAATCCCTATTATGAAACCCACTGCTGGATCTTGGGATTGTTTATAGAGGGGTCTAAACTGTAGTGCTCACTGTTGGAACTATTTGCCCCTAAATCATTTTCAGCCATCATCAGTGTTAGTACTGTACACATATAATAGATCTTCTACGTGATCTGTCAGTGGTAACAATTTCAACTTCAAAGCAACTAGTCAGTAGATTACTAAAAACAATTATTTCTGGTCATATAGGTTCATTTCAACAGGGGGGGTGAACCCCCTGGACCGCCCCCGCCTTGCCCCCCTTTCCTGGATCTGCCACTGAAACCCTTGGCATAGCCAAGGCAATAGACCTTTTTAGCTTGTAATTTTTGTTTTCGCATTTCAGTCCATATTTGGATGTTACCCCAAAAAACTGTTTCTTTGAAATGTTGTGCTATCAACAATCATGCATACTGCTCGAATAATTAATGAAAAGTCACAAGGGAGAGCATCACAAAGATCTGAATCGGGGAAATAAAATCTACCAGCTAAAAAGTTTTTCTTTCCAGTCAAATGTTTAAAAATGCACCAATCAGGATTTCTTCCCGTACCCCAATGTTAAAACAATTTACCCCTGGTGTTACATGTACCAATGGTTTTTGCAACCCTTGGCCCTTTGTTATACCATGCGTCTACTGTAACTAAGTGGTTATTCTTCCACAAGTGCTTTGTACCCTGAATGCAGTGTCTTATGTGTGGATGCACTGCTGTCATTAAGGGCTAAGGGCAGGGAATTGCTTCTGTTGACCCCTGCTATTTTCATAATTCGCTGACCCTATAATGGAGGTCAAAGGGATATTACTAAAACTAGTGACGCCTCCCCTCCCACTCCAAACAAAGTTGAATTGTGAGCAAAATGGGTGGAAATGAGTGCTTTTTTTGGCCACAACATTACTGGGGGGAGTGGGGAAGGGGGATAACAGGATGACCCCAAAGGCGATCTAAAATAATGACATAAGGAGCAGGGTCCTACATGTACATAACAATTACGTTGAAGGGCGTTTTCACAGCCCCAAGTTCGTTTGTCCTTCATTGTAGTTATTTGATTCCCCACCTACTAACTGTATTTAACCAACAACTTAAAATATGTGTGACAGCCCTAATTCCCTGTGCACGTCCAATTCTACTTTTTGGGACACCAGACTGAAGGTACATGTATTTCGGTGCTGATGTAACATTTGGTTCTTTCTGGTTTGCTTTCAGTTGGCTGGCTTAGACCTGAGAACTGTGTCGCTTGATGCCATCTTAGGAGCACATGCTGCAGCTTCTAAGGAATTGTGAGTATTTGTCCACCCTACTTAGCATTGCAGTGTACATGTACATCTGACAAACCCTATTAACATGTCCTTACTATTCATAGGACACCGATACAGTTAGGTTACTTTTAACTAATTATTTATTTCTCATACAGGAGGGAGGGAGAAAAAAGACTCAATGATCACATTGGGGAGCTCAAGAAGCAACTGGCTGCCAGGGATCAAATGATTCAACGATTACAAAAAGATCTGAAAGGAAAGGAACAGGTATACCAAAGTATCTGGCTTCAGGGTCTCGAAACTAGTGTTACTGCCCTAATTAGCACCCATTGTATTTCATTAACTTTGTGTCAAGTGGAGGAAAAAAAAATGGGAGGAAAGGGGAGAGGGGCTTGTTTTGTTTTTCAAATTTCTGCTGCAAAATATCTCTTTTATCTCCAATAAATGCAAATGGTAAACTGCAGTAGGAGCTATCTGTATCTGTAAGAAGAAACAAATCTCTTTGTGGTTACTTGTAAGTCCTTTTTCCTCAAAGGTCTGTTGGAACTGTTTCTCCAGACAAACTCGCGCTCGCTATGATCAAGAACAGAACGGTTTTAATGCTTCTAACCCTCTCTCAGTAAAGATTACAAACTCTAGCCATGTGCTATTTGTGCTGATCAATAACTTCTTGAAACAACATCCTATAATATCCATAAATCTGGCTCCCAAGCCCAGATGACCTTAGAGAGTGCCTGACAAGTTCAGAAAGTAAAAAACAGGAACAAACATTCTTTACATGCCAATATCAGCCTACAAATTCTCGCACTCTCTAATTGGGATCAAATAAGATGTATGTTCAGTGTTTGACTGCTTCTTCTGCAATGCGGCAAAGGTTCTCCGCTGCTACAGCTGCAGCCCTCCTAAAGGGGCCAAACTCCATTGCTCTGGGATCTAGGGATGGGTCTTCTCTCATTCGCTACTCTTGATCAAAGGAAGGCTCTAAAGGAAACAGATGCTGGACTGCCCGGTTATGCTCAGCATCCTGGATAAGGATCACATCTCCTAGCTTGACATTCATCTCTTTGGATTTGTGCTTCATGTTTTCTCTTTCCCTCAGAGACTTCAGATATTGTACTCCCCACTCCACCGATTCCATAAAACCTCTTTAAACCAGCATAGATACTTCACTCTCTTCCTCAAGTCAGCATCCCTTTATTCTGTGCTTTCCTCTGGGACAAGGCTTGGTTGACCGAACATCATGGCATATGGAGTCAAAACTGGTAGCTGAGCATCGTCTTCCAGATATGACAGAGGGTGATTATTCAGCGCCACTTCTACATCCAGCAAGACCTCCTCAACCTCATTCCATGTAAGTTGACCAATACTTTTGTACTATGGCCATTTTAAGACGCCCATAAGCCTCTGAAATTGTCCACCCCCCACCTGGGGGCTCTGCTTAGATAAAATTGCAACCTTATTTCCTGATGAGCAAGGTAGTTCTGAAGCTGTTCATGTCTTACCACCCCATTCAACCACTTCGCTGAGGCAACAAAACTTTGCTTGTTATACGAATAAATCTTCCTGGGGTGGCCTTTTCTCATGATCAACCATTTGAGATACAGGATGAACTCCTCAGCTGTTTGGTTTGGCAGCAACTTCAGGTGGACAGCTCTGGTTAAGCTGCAAGCAGATAACAAACTATATGCTTTTCCTGTTTTTTTTTTTTTGTCTTGAGTTTGTACCCTATTGGTCCTGCAAAGTCCAGGCCAACTACTTGGAAAGAGGCTTATCCTTCTGTCCTGTCTGTTGGCAATTTTCCAGATGGTGGGTTTGAGAAAGTAGTAACTTGGAATTTCTTGCACCCATAGCATCCTCTGATATCTGTCTTCCTGAGCTGTCTAAGCTGAGGCACCCAATATTGTTGATGAACAAAACTCATGGTATGTTTATCATGGACAATTCTCTCTGTTAACAAGCATCTGATGGTAAATAGATAGGGTACCTTCCCTGCATTCTTCCTCTACACTCGTACAGACCCTCTTCATTCTTCTGCAAATTAAGTTTGAACTGATCTTCATGCAATGTGTCTGTGTTTAACCTGCTGTTTTGAGCTCTTCCTACCCAGAATTTCACTTGCTTGTCAGTCTGACATGTGGTTAATGAACCAGACAACTGGTACTTCTTGCCTTTCTTAGAGGTTTTGATAAATCTTGCTACCTATTACATGATACGAACTGTCTGCCAGAATCCATGTTTCTCTAAAACCTGGTGTAGGGTGGCCTTCATCTCTGTGGCCCCAGGAAACCCTTCCCTCACTAGCTTGGTCTTTGCTTCTGTCTCTTTGCTTGGCTTAGTTTGCATCACCGCTGGCCACTTTTCTGGTTTAGACGGCCAGTTTGGTGCCCTCAGTCAGATTTCAAGACGCTCTTTAGACAGAGTGCCTGTGCTCTGTTCTAGTAGACCTCCCCTTAACATAGGCCGTGGCATTAATTTGAGCAACTCTTTTGGACACAAATTGTTTGTAGCGCCTTTTCTCAGCAATCCAATACAAGACTACTGTACTATGTGTCCATCAAAACACAGAACACAGACCTCACTACATATCCTTCCAAAGTGCCTCTTACATGGTCTACAAGGTTGGCTGCCATGTGAGCAGAAATGACCTCCAGCCTTGGCATGGCAGGGTGCAAAGAAAGTCATTTTTACAGCTTGCCATTTGGGCAAGCTGAAGCTAACATTTACTAGCCCAAATGTCATTTCAAATAGCCCCCAAAATTTTTTGAAGAGCAGAAATGATTTAACAGTTCTTCTGTAAGTTGAATTCCTCAAACTACTTCACTTGCCGTCAGGCAAGTTAAGAAGAGAATTCACTAGCCTGATAGCAAAATCCATTAGCCCCGGGCTATTGGACACTACTTTTTTTGTACGCTGCATGGTAAGTCCTTTCTTTGCTAAACTTGCCTTTGCTGCTAACAGACTCTGGTGTATATCAGATTCCTGACACATGACTGCGTACACTGCTGCTGCTGTCCCTTTTACAGAATGCATGCAGGTCTAAAGCTTGGACCAGGTCTTGAGCTATAGTTAGACTGTGTGGGAATTTAAGCCACCAGGCCACTTTCCCTTAAATTCCTCCTATTGTGCTTTCAGTTCCTTTGGTAAAACAGCATCCTAAGGAGGTGTCGGTCACATGCTTCTTTAAAAACATTTTCCCTACCAGGGTTACACAACTTGCTGCCTCAAGAGGGTCATATGTTGAAGCTAAACTCCTTAGCACTTTTCTCTGTGTGGTTTTGTTTGAATCACCGGAAAAGGTCACAGCCAGAGTATCCTTCACCGAATCCCAAGGGAGCCCAAGTAGTTTGGCTTTATTGGTTCTCACCCCCAACTGATCCTTGGCGTATGTCTGGCTATCTTCTGTCAACTGATTATCTGTTCCATTTCAGGTATGTTAGGGTTCTACTTATGCAACTCAAAAGCTGCTCCTTTTAAAACCTGTATTGCAGTTCCTTTCAACACATGCATTTGATCAACCGTATCTTCTCTAGTGATGATGTCATCAGCATAAAGACTTCTCGTGATTTGCTCCACATGCTTTCGGTATTTAGTTCTTAAAGTTTCTAAAATGTTCTTTCAAGGTCCCTGCAAGAAAAAAAAAGTGACTTCACAAGTCCAAATAAAGCCCACTTGAACCTCTTGCACCTCATAGTCTCAACTTGTGAAGAGTCTATCCCTTATCTAATGAAATCGAAATTTGCCACGATCTGCTTTGCTAATCTGCACCTGCAAGAAGGCCAGCTTAATAATGTCTCCACAAAAGGGAACTGGATTGAGATGGTTCTGAACGATCACACTCCCATGTAAATTTTGTAGAGGTGGCCCAGTCTCTAAGAAATTGTTCAATGAAGGGCCGCCTTGGTTTGCCTTAGCTAATGCATCAAAGACAGTACACATTCTGTTACTCTGTAGCTGCTTCTCTTATGTCTCCTTTGTGCGACAGATAACATTCTCTTTCCCCTTGAGTCTCATTGCTTACTTTCTCCACAATAGCTCCTTTCAGTCTGTTTTGGATACTCATCTAGGTGACTGGGTACCTTCTGGAATCTCTTCACTACATTAGATAGTTGTGAAAGACTGCCTTTGTGATTGTTAGGGAGGGGTGGATGTCCAGCTTTCCACAGCAGACCAGTCTTGTACCACCCCTCAGGGTGGCACAAGTTGCTCTTGGAGTTCGCTCTACACCACTTGTTGATCATTGGCTGGTCTGTCCTCTAGTCCCAGAACATCAAGGCTCCACAATTACTCGTAGTGTGATAAAGAACTGCCAGTTAGTTTGTCTCAAGTTTGTCTCAGCTCCAGTGGACATTGTGGTCCAGCCAACTGATGTGAATTCTTCTATTGGTTCTCCTGGATCCCCACCCTTAGTGCTAAATTTGGCTTAATCTTGGCATACTCGCTAGCCCTGAGGATCACGTGTATCATCAGCTCAGGCTCGACATTGGTTTCATCAATCTCCACGCCCTTGAGGTGTTGGTACGTGGTGATTATATCCACACTGGGCTCAGGATAGTTAGCAAAGTTCCCTTTTCCACTTTACTCAGGATAGTGGGCAAAATAAAAACTCATTTAATGTTAGAGACTTGGACCTTGTACATTTCTATCTTTTGACTTGTGCACGTCATCATCATTTCGACTCTCTCATACTCTCTTCGATCTGGGTTTTTGTTCAGTTTGCTAATGAGTGCCGCTGATGCATAGGAGCTTCCAGCTCTCATGTCCAATAAAGCTCTACACCTAATTCCAACCACTTGTCCCTCAACTTCTGTGTACACCACTTGGTAGCATCAGCTGGTTTGATAGCTTATCACAAATCCAACTATGGTGCTTCCCATTACACCTCTGGCAAGTAGTAAATACAACTTATCGTCTGACAAGTACCTTCTTCATTTGGGTACCCTTTAATCTTGTCACATTGAACTGATTTATGTTCCTCAGACTTACAGTAAACACAGCCCTTTTGCTTTCCACTCTCTTCTTTAGCTTGAAGCAATAGGTCTTTTCCCTTGTCACGTCTCCAAGGGTAGCCATCCAGGGGGACTGAGTTGCTCTCACGGTCACACTTAGTTTCTTAAGGCTCCTACCAGTTGCGGGAACCTCCACTCCTGCCAGTTATCATCTAGCCTCACTAGATCGGCTCTTTTGCCTGGTAGTTTATCTAGGGTAAGTCTAACATTCCCTCTAATATCTTTTTTCCTACCCATGGACTCCAAGGTTTGGATATTGGTAACCAGTTTCTCATAGAACTCATTGATTCTTCTTGGGTTAGTCTCTGTGATAACTGATAATACCATTATGCACTGAATGTGAGCATTACTGTAGCTACTTCCCTTGACTTTGGTCATGAGAATGTTCTTAGCCCGTATGCATCTCTCTCTGTTAAAGGGCAACCAGTTGATGACAGCTTTATTTCTTGGTACTAGTAGCTCTTTCAAGTATAAGATTTTGGCAACTTGAGCAATGTCTGATTTGTCTATTGTCCCTTCAAACTGCCAATCTAGATGCGTCCCATGGAATTTCGTTGTTACAAGTTTAGGTAGTTTAACGTTTAGTTTAGCTGCAACACTCCTTCTCGACGACTTCTGCTTAGAAGTTCTTCTTCCTTTCAAGTCTCGCTTTCTCCTCTTTTTCTTGAGTTTCTCTTTCTTCTTGTTCCCTTAACTTTTGTTCCAGCTCTTCTAATTCTCTGACCACGTATTTGTACTTGCCCAACTCTGTTTGAATACACCACCTGTTGATCGTCGGCTGGTCTGTCCTCTAGTCTCAGTACATAAAGGCTGCACAATTACTCCTAGTTAGGTACACACTGCTCAGGTTTGTCTCATTTCCAGGGGACATTATGGTCCAGCCAACTGCTCTGAATTCTTCTATTGGTTCTCCTGGATCCCTACCCTTGGTGCTAAATTTGTCTTAAACTTGGCATACTTGTCAGCCCCAAGGATCACGTGTATAGGCAGCTCGGGCTTGATGTCAGTGTCATTAATTTCCATGCTCTTGAGGTATTGTTACTTGGTGATTATATTCACACTGGGTTCTTGATAGTTAGCAAAATTCCCTTTTCCACTTTGCTCGGGATAGTGGGCAAGCTAAAAGCCCCTTTAATGTTAGAGCTTGGACCTTGTACATTTCTATCTTTTGACTTGTCCACGTCATCATTTTGATTCTCTTATACTCTCTTTGATCTGGTTTTCTCTTCAGTTTGCCAATGCGTGTCGCTGATGCATAGCAGCTTCAAGCTCTCATGAACAATAAAGCTCTATACCTAATTCCTTTCACTTCTCTCTCAACTACTGGGTACACCACTTGACCTCCACCAGTTGCTAGAATGGTCTGGTTTCTAAAAGATTATAACAAATTGAACTATGGTGCTTCCCATTACACCTCTGACAAGTAGTAGTGCATCTGCATTCCGCTGCTCTGCGCCAAGTGCCAGTACAGTTAAACACAACTTTTTGTCTGAAAATTACTTCCTCTTTTCGGCTACCCGTTTAATCTTGTCACAGTCAACCGATTATGTTCCTCTGACACAACCCCTATGCTTTCCATCCTCTTGTTTAGCTTGGAGCAATGGGTCTTTTGCCTTGTCACGTCTCCCAGGGTTGCCATCCAGGGGGACTGAGTTCCTTTCACCGTCACACACATTTTCTTAAGGCTTCTACTAGTAGTGGGAACCTCTACTCCTGCCAGTTATCATCCAGCCTCACAAGATCAGATCTTATGCCTGGTAGTTTATCTAGGGTAAGTCTAACATACCCTCTAATATCTTTCTTCTTACCCATGGACTCTAAGGTTTGGATATTCGTAACCAGTTTCTCATAGAACTCATTAATTCTTGTAGGGTTAGTCTCTGTGATAACTGATAATCCCATTATGTACTGGATGTAAGCATTAGCTACTTCCCTTGGCTTTACATAGTTGGTCATGAGAATGTTCTTAGCTTGTGTGTATCCCTCACTGTTAAAGGGCAACCTATTGATGGCAGCTCTATTTCTTGGTACAAGTAGTTCTTTTAAGCAGAAGACTTTGGCAACTTGACCAATGTCTGATTTGTCTATTGTCGCTTCAAATTGCTCTCAAAACCTTTGCCAATCCAAGTGCGTCCCCTGGAATTGCGTTATCACATGTTTGGGTAGTTTAACGTTTAATTTAGATGCATTGCTCTCCTTCTCGATGTTTTCTGCTTAGAATTTCCTCTTGCTGTCAGGTCTGGCTTTCTCCTCTTTTTCTTATGTTTCTCGTGCTTCTTGTTCCCTTAACTTTGCTCCAGCTCTTCTAATTCTTCGACCTTTTTCTAGTACGTGCCCAACTCTACTTGAATACCCGAGCTCCAATCTGTTATGACATCTTCTTCATCACCTCGTCCAATTTGAAGTACTTGTTCAATTGCTTTCATTTCATGACATTCCTCAAGTTTGTTCTCCATAAACTGGCAATTTCTTTGAATCGGTTTTAACTAATTGCTTCCAGCAATCTTGTTTGTGTTTTCGTTCGTCAGCTGCAATACTCGATCTGTCTTGGATTATTTTCGCCTGTTTTTTGACTGTTGCCGCTGATGTTGTCATGATTTTGTCCTAGCAGGGTCGCCACTTTGTCAGAACTGTTTTCTCAGACGATAAACTCACTCTTGCTTCAATGAAGAATAGACCTGTTTTAATGCTTTTAACCATCTCTCGGTAAAGAGTACAAACTCCTATGCGCTTTTTGTGCTGATAGATCACTTCCTGAAACAACACCCTAAAATATTTATAAACCTGATTCCCAGTCCATGATAACCTTAGAGAGCGCCTGACTATTTCACAAAGTGAAAAAACGTGAACAAATATTCTTTTATCCTATTATCAGTCTATGAATTGTTACAGGTCAAAGGTCCTATTATTAGTTCTGGTATTGAAATCCTTCTACCCTGTCTTGAGTACGTACCTCTGTATGCAGAAAACAGTTTTCTTTACCCCGATAAAACTTTTGGAACCCAGGGTAGGAGCTTTTAGACTCAGGTGAAAGCATGAATTTTTTGGTGCGACAAACTAAATTGCGGCTGGGATTGACCTTAACTGAGTTTGTTTGACTTGTTGGAACCGTGAAACTTCACATAACCTTGGATCCACAGAGATATTTTTCTCCTCCTAAAGAGGATTAATAAAAGATGTTTTACCACCCCTTTTAACCACTAAGCTGCGCCAACAAACGTTCTCTTGTTAAAAATCTTCCTCGGGTGGCCTTTTCTCTTGATGAACCGTTTGAGATGCTTGATGAACGCCTCAGCTTTTTGGTTTGGCTGCAACTCAAAGTCGACAGCTCTGGTTAAGCTGCAAGCAAATAACAAAATATAAGTTTTTCCTTGTTTCTTTTTGTCTTGAGTTTGTACCCTATAGGTCCTGCAAAGTCCGGGCCAACTACTTGGAAAGAGGCTGATCCTTCTGTCCTGTCTGGTGGCAATTTTCCAGCTGGTGGGTTTGAGAAAGCAGTAACTTGGAATTTCCTCCACCCATAGCATCCTTTGACAACTGTCTTTGTGAGCTGTCTACTGTTTTGAACTCTTCGTACACAGAATTTCACTTGCTTGTCAGTCTCACTTGTGCTCAGTGGACAGAAAACCTGTACTTCATGCCTTTTTTTACAGGTTTGGATAAATCTTGCCACCCATGACGTGGTACGTATTGTCTGCCAGAATCCATGTTTCTCTAAAATCTGGTGCAGGGTGTCCTCCATTTCTGTGGCCCCAGCAAACAGTTTCTTTACTATTTTTGCCTCTGCGTCTGTCTCTGCTTGGCGTAGTTTGCATTACTACTGGCGACATTTCTGGTTTACACAGCCAGTTTGGTCCCTATGACCAAACTGGCTCTTAAGACGATCTCTAGACAGGGTGCCTCTGCTCTGTTCCTGAATACCTCCACTTCACATAGGCTGTCGCATTAATGAGTAACCTCTATTGGACAGAAATTGTTTAAAGCTCCCTGATCAGCGATCCAATGCAAAACTACTGTACTGTCTTTCCATCCATACACAAACCACACTACATATTCTTCCAAAGCCCTTCTTACATTGTCTGCAATGTTGGCTGCCATGTGAGCTGAAATGAGCTCCAACCTTGGTACGGTAAGTCCTTTCTTTGCTAACCATGCCTTTGCTGCTAACAGACTACGGTGCATACCAGATTCTTGATACATGAGTGTGTGTGCTAATTTCAGCTCACCTGGCCACTTTCCTTTAAATTTGTCTTAATTGTGGTTTTAGTTCCTTGGGTAAAACAGTATCCCAAGAAGGCTTCGCTCTCATGCTCCTCTTAAAACCAGTTTCTCTACCAAGGTTAAAGGACTTGCTACCGCAAGAGGTTCATATATTGCAGTTAAACTCCTTAACACGTTTCTCTGTGTGGCTTTTTGTAAATCACTGGAAAGGATCACAGGCAGAGTGTCCTTCTCCTAAGGGAGCCGAAGTAGTTTTGCTTTGGTGGTTTTAACCCTCCAACTGTTCCTTGGCACATGTCTGGCTATCGTCTGTCAATTGTTTATCTGCTTCCAGTTCTGGTACATTAGAGTTCCACCTATGCAACTCGAAAGCTGCCCTTTTAAAAACCACTATTGCAGTTGCTTTCAACCCATGCACTTGATCGACCATATCTTCCCCAGTGATTTTCTCCACATGCTTTAGCTATTCAGTTCTTAAAGTTTCTAAATGTTGTTTTAAGGTCCGTGCGAGAAGAAACAGCGACTGCACAAGTCCAAATAAAGCCCGCTGAACCTCAAAATCTCAACTTGTGATGAGTCTTTATCTTACATCTAATGAAATCGAAATGTGTCACAATCTGCTTGTCTAATCCGCTTCTGCAAGAATTCCTGAGTAATGATGTCTCCACTCAAGGCAACTGGTTTGAGACGGTTTCAAACTAGCGCACTTCAGAGCAAATTTTGTAGAGATGGCCCAGGGTCTAAGCAATTGTTCACTGCTTTTTGCGGCTGATAACTTTCATTTTCCCCTTTAGTCTCATCGCTCACTCTCTCCACAATACCTTCTTTAAGTTGGTTGGTTATTTGTCTTACTCATCTAGGTGACTGGGTACTTTTTGCAATTTCTTCGTGCGGTTAGTTAGTGGTGCGATTGTTAGGGAGTGTTGAATGTCCAGCTTTCCACAGAAGACCAGTCTCGTACCACCCCTTAGGGTCACGCACCAGTTACTCTTGGAATTTGCTATACACCATCCGTTGATGTCCTCTAGTCCCAGTACATCAATTTTGCAAAATTAAACGTAGTCTGATGATATTGTCCTAGTTAGGTACCCACGGCTCAGGTTTGTCTCAGCTCCAGGGGGCATCATGGTCGAGCCAATTCATGTGAATTCTGCTATTGGTTCTCCTGGCTCCCCACTCGTGGTGTTAAATTTGTCTTAATCTTGGCATACTCGCTAGCCCAAAGGATCAAGCGTATAGGCAGCTCGGGCTTGACGTTGGTGTCATGAATTTCCACGCTCTTGAGGTGTTGGTACTTAGTGATTATATCCACACCGGGTTCGGGATAGTTAGCAAAGTTTCCTTTTCGACTTTGCTCAGGATAGTGGGCAAACCTAAAACCCCTCTGATGTTAAAGACTTGGACCTTGTACATTTCTTCTGACTTGTCCACGTCATCATTATTTCCATTATCTTATACTTTCTTTGATCTGGGTTTCTGTTCAGTTTGCTAATGAGTGCCACATATGCATAGGAGCTTCCAGCTTTTGTGTCCATTTAAGTGCTACACCTAATTCCATGTACTCGTACCACTACTACTGGGTCCACCACTTGATCTCTACCTGTTGGTTTCAAAAAATATCACAAATCGAACACCTCTGGCAAGTAGTAGTACATCTGCATTCTGCCGCTCTACGCCTAATGCTAGTACTGTTAAAACAATACTTATTGCCTGATATCTCCAGCTGTAGGCTGCCCCTTTAATCTTGTCACTGTCTACTGATATGTGTTCCTCACACTTGAAGTTAACGCAACCTCTGGGTCTCTTTCCTTGTTACGTGTCCTAGGGTTGCTATCCAGGGGGATTGAGTTCCTCTCGCTCCCATTTTCTTAAGGGTTCTACTAATTACGGGAACCTCTACTCCTTCCAGTTGTCATCCAGCCTCACTAGATCAGGTGCATCAGCTGGTTTGAAAGCGTATCACAAAATATCAAACTATGGTGCTTCCCATTATACCGCTAGCAAGTAGTAGTGCAGGTGCTTTCCACCGCTCTATGCCAGGTGCCAGCACAGTTAAACACATCTTATTGTCTGACAAGTACCTCCTCCTGTCGCCTACCAATTTAATCTTGTCACAGTCACCAGATTATCTTTTTGAGACTTACAGTTAACACAACCCCTATGCTTTCCACCCCCTTGTTTAGCGTGAAGCAATGGGTCTTTTCCCTTGTCACGTCTCCCAGGGTTGCCATCCAAGGGGACTGGGTTCCTCTCACAGTCACACCCATTTTTAAGGCTTCTACTAATTGTGGGAACCTCCGCTCCTGCCAGTTATCATCCAGCCTCACTAGATCAGATTTTATGCCTGGTAGTTTATCTAGGGTAGGTCTAACATACCCTCTAATACCTTTCTTCTTACCCATGGACTCCAAGGTTTGGATATTGGTAACCAGTTTCCCATAGAACTCATTAATTCTTGTTGGGTTAGTCTCTGTGATAACTGATAATCCCATTATGCATTGGATGTGAGCATTAGCTACAGCTCTTGGCTTTGCATATTTGGTCATGAGAATGTTGTTGGCTCGTGTGTATCCTTCACTGTTAAAGGGCAACCCATCGATGACAGCTCTATTTCTTGGTACAAGTAGTTCTTTTAAGTATAAGATTTTGTCAACTTGAGCAGTCTGATTTGTCTATTGTCGCTTCAAACTGCTCTTAAAACCTTTGCCAATGTAGATGCTTCCCCTGGAATTTCGTTATCACAAGTTTGTGTAACTTAACATTAAGTTTACCTAGATCACTCTCCTTCTCATCGGTTTACGCTTTGAATTTCATCTTGCTCTCAAATCTCGCTTTTTTCTTGAGTTTCTCTTGCTTCTTGTTCCCTTAATTTTTTTCTCTGTCTTCAAATTCTTGGACCACTTTCTTGCACTTGCTCAACTCTTCTTGAATACCCAAACTCTAATCTTTAATGAGATCTTCTTTTTCATCTCGCCAATTTTAAGTTCTTGTACGATCGCTTTTATTTCATTGCATTCCTCAAGTTTGCTCTTCAAAAACCTTGCGAAGTCTTCGAATTGGTTTCAGCAAATTGCTTCCAGCAATCTTGTTTGTGTTTTTGTCCGTCAGCTGCAGTACGTTCATTTTGTTTTGGATTCTTTTCTCTTGATTTTTAATGGTTGCCACTGTTGTTGTCATGATTTTGTTCTGGCAGGGTCGCCACTTTGTCGGAACTGTTTCTTTAGATGATAAACTCACGCTCTCTACGATCCAGAACAGAACTGTTTTAATACTTCTTGAAACAACATCCTATAATATCCATAAACCTGGGTCCCAGACCTCGATGAGCCTGCAGAGCGCCTGACTAGTTCACAAAATGAAAAAAACATGAAGAAACATTCTTAGCATTCTAATATCAGTCTACAAGTCCTCACAAGTCAAAGGTCCTATTATAAGTTCTGGTATTAAATCGTTCTACCCCCTCATGAGTACGTACCTCTATGCGGAAGACAATTTTTTTACTCCAATAAAACTTCCAGCACCCTGGGTAGGAGCCGTTAGACTCAGGCCAAAGCGTGAATTTTTTTGTGAGGCGAACCAAATTGTGCTTGGAATTGATCTTAACTGAGTTTGACTTCTTGGAAACGTGAAACTTGACGTAACTTGGATCCACCGAGACATTTTACTGTGGATAAAGCAGATGAAGAGAACACGTTTTACCACCCCATTCAACCACTTTGCTGCCGCAACAAAAGTCTGCCCGTTATACCAATCAATCTTCCTGGGGAGGCCTTTTCTCGTGATGAACCGTTTAAGATGCTTGATAAGCTCCTCAGCTGTTTGGTTTGGCTGCAACTCAAAGTGGACAGCTCTGGTAAAGCTGCAAGCAAATAACAAAATATATGCATAGCATCCTCTGATAACTCTCTTTGTGAGCTGTCTTAGCCGAGGGACCCAATATTACTGACGAACAAAACTCATCGTAAGTCCCACTCCTACTCTGGATTCTTCCCCGGCACTCGTGCTGACCCTCTTCATTCTTCTGCGAATTAAGTTTGACCTGATTTTCATGGAAAGTGTCTGTATTTAACCTGCTGTTTTGAGCTCTTCCTAACCAGAATTTCACTTGCTTGTCAGTCTCACATGTGGTCAATGGCCAGACAACCTGTATTTCTTTTCTACAGTTGTGGATAAATCTTGCTTCCCATGACGTGATACGTATTGTCTGCCAGAATCCATGTTTCTCTAGAATCTGGTGTTGGGTGTCCTTCATCTCTGTGGCTCCAGCAAACACTACCTTTACTAGCTTGGCCTCTGCTTCTCTCTCTTTACTTGGCTTAGTTTACACCACCGCTGGCCACTTTTCTGGTTTAGACAGCCAGTTTGATGCCTAATGCCAGATTTCAAGATGGTCTTTAGACAGGGTGCCTCTGCTCTGTTCCCGTATACCTCCCCTTAACATAGGCCGTGGCATTAATTTGAGCGACTCTATTGGACACAGATTGTTTCTAGCTCCCTTCCTCAGCGATCCAATACAAGACTACTGTACGTTCTGTCCATCCATACACAGAACACAGACCTCACTACACATCCTTCAAAAGCGCTTGTTATATTGTCTACAATGTTGGCTCCCATGTAAGCAGAAATGAGCTCCAACCTTGGCATGGCAAGTCCTTTCTTTGCTAAGCGTGCGTTTGCTGCTAACAGACTCTGGTGTATACCAGATTCCTGATACATGACTGCGTACACTGCTACTGCTGTCCCTTTCCCACTAGAATCACAGAATGCCTGCAGGTCTAAAGCTTGGACCAGTTTTAGAGCCATAGTTACACTGCGTAGGAACTTAAGCTCACCAGGCTACTTTCCCTTAAATTTCTCCCGTTGTGCTTTCAGTTCCTTGGGTAAAACAGCATCTCAAGGAAGGTGTCGGTTACATGATTCTCTGTAAAACATTTTCCCTAATAATGTTAATGGACTTCCTACCCCAAGGCGGTTATATATTGAAGCTAAACTCCTTTGCTCTTCTCTCTCTGTGATTTTTTGTGAATCACCGGAAAAGGTCACAGCCAGTGTCCTCCACCTTATCCAAAGGAAGCCCGTGTAGTTTTTATGCAGTGGTTTTCACCCCCAACTGTTCCTTGGCGTATGTTTGGCTATCTTCTGTCAACTGATTATCTGCTTCCAGTGTGGTTCATTAGAGTTATATATAATTGGAAACCTGCCCCTTTAAAAACCTCTGTTGCAGTTCCTTTTAAGTCCTACCCTTGATCTAGCATATCTTCCCCAGTGATGATATCATCAGCGTAAAGACTTCTCATGATCTCCTCCACTTGCTTTGAATAGTCATTTCTTAAAGCTTCTAATAGTTGTTTCAAGGTCCCTGTAAGAAGAAACTGCGACTGCACAAGTCCAAATAGAGCCTGCATGAACCTCAAAGTGTCAACTTGTGACGAGTCTTTACCGCTGATCCAATGAAATCTTAACGTCTCACGATCTGCTTCTCTAATCCGTACCTGAGAGAAGGCCTGCTTAATAATGTCTCCACACAAGGCAACTGGTTCGAGAAGGTTCCGAACCAGCACACTCCAAAGGAAATTAAATTTTATAGAGGTGGCCCAGTCTCTAAGCAATCATTCAAGTAAGGGCCACCTTGGTTTGCCTTTTTTACTGCATCAAAGACAATACGCATTGTTGTACTCTGTGACGCTTCTCTCATGACTGCTTTGTGTAGGAGATGACATTCTCTCTCCTCTTGAGTCTCATCGCTCACTCTCCACAATACCTTCTTTCAGTTGGTTCTGCTCAGAGTAGTGGGCGAGCCAAAAACTCCTTTTATGTTAGAGAATTGGATCTTGTACATTTCTATCTTCTGTCTTATCCACGTCATTATTTTTTCAATTCTCTCGTACACTCTTCGATGTGCTGTTCAGTTTGCCAATAAGTGCCGCTGATGTATAAGAGCTCCCAGCTCCCATGTCCAATAAAGCATTACACCTAATTCCATCCACTTCTACCACAACTACAAGGTACACCACTTGACCTCCACCTTTTGCTAGCATCAGCTGGTTTGAAAGCTTATCACAAATCGAACTGTGGTGCTTCCTATTACACATCTGGCAAGAAGTAGTGCATCTGCATTCTGTCGCTCTATGCCTGGTGCCAGTACAGTTTCAACACAACTTATTGTCTGACAAATACTTCCTTCTGTCGGCTACCCTTTTAGTCTTGTCATAGTCAACTGATTTATGTTCCTCAGACTTACAACAACCCCTATGATTTCCACCCGCTTGTTTAGCTTGAAGCAATGGGTCTTTTCCCTTGTCATGTCTCCCAGGGTGGTTGCCATCCAAGGGTACTGATTTCCTCTCACACCCATTTTCTTAAGGCTTCTACTAGTTGAGGGAACTTCCACTCCTTCCAGTTATTATCCATCCTCACTAGATCAGCTCTTAAGCATGGTAGTTTATGTAGGGTAAATCCAACATACCCTCTAATATCTTTGTCCTTACCCATGGACTCTAAGGTTTGGATATTGCTAACCAGTTTCTTATAGAACTCATTTATTTTTGTTGGGTTAGTGCCTGATAACTGGCAATCATATTATGCACCGGATGTGAGCATGAGCTACTTTCCTTGGCTTTGCATATTTGGTCATGAGAAAGTTCTTAGCTCGTGTGTATCCCTCACTGTTAAAGGGCAACCCATCGATAACAGCTCTAACTCTTGGTAAAAGTAGTTCCTTCAAGTATGAGACTTTGGCAACTTGACCAATGTCTGATTTGTCTATTGTCACTTCAAACTGTCCCCCAAACCTTTGCGAATCTACTTGTAGATGCGCCCCATGGAATTTCGTTTTAACAAGTTTGGGTAGTTTAACGTTTAGTTTAGCTGCATTACTCGCCTTTTCGATGGTTTTCGTTTCGAATCTCTTCTTGATGTGAAGTTTTACCTTCTTCTCTTTTTCCTGTGTTTCTCGTGCTGCTTGTTTCCTTAACTTTTGTTTCAGCTGTTGGAATTCTTCGACCACTTTCTCGTACTTGGCCAACTCTGCTTGAATACCCAAACTCTAATCTTTTATGACATCTTCGCCACCTCGTCCAATTTTAAGTTCTTTTACAATTGCTTTTATTTCATGGCATTCCTCCTCTTTGCTCTTCATAAACTTGCAATGTCTATGAATCAGTTTCAACAAATGGCTTCCAGGAATCTTGTTTGTAATTGTTTTCTCTTTATTTTTCACTGCTTCCTTCTCATGGACACTCTTGACACTTTTGAGGTTCCATGTACAGCTGAACAATCCTTATTGGGAACAATTCTTTTGGTTCCATTGAATTGTAAGGCAGCCTTAGATCAAAACCGACTGCAAAACTCATGGTTCCTTGCTAAAAGATGCTTTCACAATAACCAGTATGTGCCCTTCAACCTTTTTTGGTTCTCCACTGTGCAACATTATTTTTTTTTTCCGTCTGATTCTGATGATTCCGTCCTGGCAGGGTCACCACTTTGTCAGATCTGTTTCTCTAGACGATAAACTCACGCTCGGGACGATCAAGAAGAGAGCTGTTTTAATGCTTCTAACCGTCTCTCAGGGTCCGATTATTATTTTCTGGTATTATAATCCTTCTACCCGACCTTGAGTGCATACCTGTGTATGTGAAAATTTTTTTACCCCAATAAAACGTTTGGCACTCGAGGTAGGAGCTGTTAAACTCGGGTCAAAGAGAGAGAGAGGAACCAAATTGCACCTAGAATTGACCTTAACTGAGTTTGTTTGACTTGTTGGAGATGTTAAAGTTGACATAACTTTGGACCCACAGAGACATTCTACTATGGCTAAAGCTGATTAATAGAACGTGTTTTCCTTTGTGCGGCAGATAATATTCTTTTCCCCTTAAGTCTCATCGCTCACCCTCTCCACTAAAACCTCCTTTGGGTTGGCCTTGGATTAATTTGTCAAACTCATCTAGGTGACTGGGTACCTTCTGCAGTTTCCTCACGAGGTAAGATAGCCGTGCAAGACTGCTTTTGTGATTGTTAGGAAGAGATGGATGTCCAATTTTCCACAGCAGACCAGACTTTTACCACCCCTCTGTGTTGCACACCAGTTGCTCTTGAAGTTCGCTCTACGCAACCTGGCTGGTATTTCCTCTAGTCCCAGTTTTTCAAGGCTGCACAATTACTTGTAGTCTGATGAAGAACTGCTTGTTAAGTACACACTGCTCAGGTTTGTCGCAGGTTTAGGGGACATTATGGTCCAGCCAATTGAAGAGAATTTTGCTATTGGTTCTCTTGGCTCCTCACCCTTGGTGCTAAATTTGTCTTAATCTTGGCATACCCGCTAGCCCTGAGCATTACATGTATAGGCAGCTCGGGTTGATGTCGACGTCATCAATCTCCACGCCCTTGAGGCGTTGGTACTTGGAGATTATATCCACTCTGGGTTTGGGATAGTTAGCAAAGTTGCCTTGTCCACTTTGTTCAGGGTAGTAGGCAAGCTGAAATAGCTTTTCCGTTGTCATGTCTCCCAGGGTTGCCATCCAGGGGGACTGAGTTCCTCTCACAGTCACACCCAATTTGTTAAGGCTTCTACGAATTGCGGGAACATCCACTCCTGCCAGTTATCATCTAGCCTCACTAGATCAGGTCTTATGCCTAGTAGTTTATCTAGGGCAAGTCAAACATACCTTCTGTTATCTTTCTCCTTACCCATAGACTCTAAGGTTTGGATATTGGTAACCAGTTTCTCATAGAACTCGTTAATTCTTGTTGGTTTAGTCCCTGTGATAACTGGCAATCCCATTATGCACTGGATGTGAGCATTAGCTATTTCCCTTGGCTTTGCATATTTGGTCATGAGAATGTTCTTAGCTCGTGTATCCCTCAGTGTTAAAGGGCAACCCATCGATGACAGCTCTAACTCTTAATACAAGTAGTTTTTTCAAGTATGAGATTTTTGCAACTTGACCAATGTCTTACTTGTCGATTTCTGCTTTAATCTGTGCGCAAAACCTTTGCCAATTTAGGTGCGCCACCTGGAGTTTCGTTATCACAAGTTTGGGTATTTCTTGATCTCAAGTCTCGCTTTCTCCTGTTTTTCCGGAGTTTCTCCTGCTTTTTGTTCCTTAACTTCTGTTCCAGCTCTTCTAATTCTTCGACCACTTTCTCGTACTTGCCCAACTCTGCGTGAATTCCCTAACTCCAATTTTTAATGACATCTTTGTCACCTCGTCCAGTTGTAAGTACTTGTACAATCGCTTTTATTTCATGGCATTCCTTCAACTTTGCTGTCCATAAACTTGCGATGTCTTTGAATCGGTTGCAAAAAATTGCTTCCAGCAATCTTGTTTGTGTTTTCCTTCGTTGGCTGCAATACTTGCAATTTGTTTTGGATTGTTTTCTCCTGATTTTCCACGGTTGCCTCTGTTGTTGTCATGATTTTGTCTTGGCAGGGTCGCCACTTTTTCCGAACTGTTTCTTCAGATGATAAACTCATGCTCGCGGCAATCAAGAAGAAAATTGTTTTAATGCTTCTAACCTTCTCTCGGTGAAGATTACAAACTCTCACCATGAGCTTTTTGTGCTGATTCATCTCTTCTTGAAATGACATCCTATAATATCCATAAACTTGGCTCCCAGGCCCCGATGACCTTAGAGAGCATCTGACTTGTTTGCTAAGTGAAAAAACACGAAGAAACATTCTTAACATCCTAATATCAGTTTACGAATTCTCACAGGTCAAAGGTGCTATTATAAGTACTGGTAGTGAAATCCTTCTACCGCGTCTCGAGTACGTACCTCTGTATGCAGAAAACAATTTGTGTACCCCCATAAAACTTCTGGCACCAAGGGTAGGGGCTGTTAGACTCAGGTCAAAGAATGATTTTTTTGTGAGACAAACTAAATTTTGCTTAGAATTGATCTTAACTGAGTTTGTGTGACTTGTTGGAGACGTCAAACTTGACATTACTTTGGATCCACAGACACATTCTACTCTGGCTAAAGCGGATGAATAGAGCATGTTTTACCATCCCATTCGACCACTTCACTGCGGGAACAAAACATTGCTCGTTATATTTAAATAAATATTCTTGGGGTGGCCTTTTTCTTGTGATGAACCGTTTGAGATGGTTGAGGAACTCCTTAGCTGTTTGGTTTGGCAGCAACGCCAGGTGGACAGCTCTGGTTAAGCTGCAAGCTAATAAGAAAATATATGATTTTCGCTTTTTCTCTGTCTCGGGTTTGTACCCTATTGGTCCTGCAAAGTCTAAGCCAACTACTTGGAAAGGGGTGATCCTTCGGTCTTGCCTGTTTGCAATTTTCCAGCTGGTGGGTTTGAGAAAGCGAAAACTTGGAATATCTCGAATCCATAGCATCCTCTGATAACCGTCGTTGTAAGCTGTCTAAGCCGAGGCACCTAATGTTGTTGACAAACAAAACTGACGGAAAGGCCCACTTCCCCTTGAAGACTTTGCACATGTTTATCATGGACAATTGTCTCTGTTAACAAGGCATCTGGTGGTACGTAGATAGGGTAGCTTCCCTGGATTTTTCTTCTACACTCGTACAGACCCTCTTCATTCTTCCCAAAGTTAGGTGTGAGGTGATCTTCATAGTACGTGTCTGTGTTTAACCTGCTGTTTTGAGCTCTTCCTACCCAGAATTTCACTTACTTGTCAGTCTCTCATGTGGTCAATGGACCAGACAACTGGTGCTTCTTGCCTTTCTTACAGTTGTGGATAAATCTCGCTACCCATGACGTGATACGTATTGTCTGCCAGAATCCATGTTTCTCTAAAACCTGGAATAGGTCTTCCTCAATCTCTGTGGCCCCGGCAAACACTTCCTTTACTAGCTTGTTCTCTGCTTCTGTCTATTTACTTGGCTTAGTTAACACCACTGCTAGCCACTTTTCTAGATTAGACAGCTAGTATGGTCCCTTAAGCCAGAGTTTTAACGTTCTCTAGACATGGTGCCTCTGCTCTGTTCCCGTGTACCTCCACTTCACATAGGCCGTGGCTTTAATTTGAGTAAAAACTCTATTGGCCACAAATTGTTTGTCGCTCCCTTGACCAGTGATCCAATGCAAAACTACTTTACTGTTTGTCCATCCATACACAGACCTCACTACATGTCTTTCTTAAGCCCTTCTTCCATTGTCTACAATGTTGGCTACCGTGCCTTTGCTGCTCACAGTCCCTGGTGCATACCAGATTCTCGATACATAACTAACTGCATACTCTGCTGCTGCTGCCCCTTTCCCACTAGAATCACAGAATGTATGCAGCTCTAAAGCTTGGCCCTTTTCTTAAGCTATAGTTAGACCGCATGGTAATTTAAGCGCACCAGGCCACTTTCCCTTAAACTCCTCCTATTTTGCTTTCAGTTCCTTGGGTAAGACAGCATCCTAAGGGAGGTGTCCGTCACATGCTTATTGGAAAACCCTTTTCCCTTCCAAGATTACAGGACGTGCAACCCCAAGAAGGTCATTTATTGAAGCTAAACTTCTTAGCACTTCTCCCTGTGTGGCTTTTTCTGAATCACCAGAAAAGGTCACAGCCAGAGTTTCCTCCACCTTATCAAAAGGGAGCCCGAGTAGATTTTTTTGTACTGGTTTTCATCCCTAACTGTTCCTTGGCATTTGACTGGCTACCTTCTGTCAAATGATTATCTGATTCCAGTTGTGGTACATTAGAATTCCACTTATGCAATTCAAAACCTGCGGCTTTAAAAAGCTATATTGCAGTTTCTTTCAACTCATGCACTTGATCAACTTTTTCTTCCCAAGCGATGATGTCATCAACATAAATACTTATTCTTTCCTCCACATGCTTTGGGTATTCAGTTCTTAAAGCTTTTAAAGGTTGTTTCAAGGTCCCTGGAAGAAGAAACTGCGACTGCAGAAGTCCAAATAAAGCCCGCGTGAATCTTGAAGTCTTAACTTGTGATGTGTCTATATCCAATGAAGTCGAAACATGTGACGATCTGCTTCTCTAATCCGCAGCTGGAAGAAGGCCTGCTTAGTAGTGTCTCCACACAAGGCAACTGGTGCGAGAGGTGACCCAGTCTCTAAGGAATTGTTCAATGAAAGGCCACCTTGCTTTGCCTTAACTAATGTATCAAAGACAATAAACATTTTGGTACTCGGTACTGCTTCTCTTATGACTGCTTTGTGCGGCACGTAACATTCTCTTTCCCCTTGAGTGTCATTGCTCACTCTCTCCGCATTACGTTGTTTCAGTTGGGTCTGTATTATTTTATCATATGCATCTAGGTCACTGGGTACCTTCTGTAATTTCTTCATGAGGTTAGCTAGTGATGCGATTGTTAGGGAGGGGTGAATGTCCAGCTTTTCACAGTAGACCAGTCTCGTACCACCCCTCAGGGTCGTGAAACAGCTACTCTTGGAATTCGCTATACACCACCTGTTGATCACCAGCTGGTCTCTCCCAGTACATAAAGGCTGCACAACTACTCGTAGTCTGATGAAGAACTCTTAGTTAGGTACACACTGCTCAGGTTTGTCTCAGCTGCAGGGGACATTATGGTCTAGCCAATTGATGTGAATTCTTCTATTGGTTCTCCTGGCTCCCCACCCTTGGTGCTAAATTTGTCTTTATCTTGGTGTACTCGCTTTCCCCGAGGTTTACGAGTATAGGGAGCTTGGGCTCAGTATTAGTGTCATCAATCTCCACACGTTTGCGGTGTTGGTTCTTGGCTCTATGCCAAGTGCCATATTGTAATAATTTTATCAAGACTAGTTTATCCTAAGTTGAGGAGACGTGACTCATTATAAGCCTCGTGGTTTCTTTCGGGTCTCCTCGCCATTTAATTTTTCTTTAATCTCATCATTCCAACCTTGCACTGTAAAACTTTGTATATATGGCAAATATAGAAAGAATGAATGAATGAATGAATGAAAGTGCCAATATAGTTTAACACAACTTATTGTCTGACAAGTACCTCCACCTGTCGGCTGCCCCTTTAATCTTGTCAGATTTATACCTCCTTAGACTTACACAGTCAACTGACTTATGTTCCTTAGATTTACAGTAAACACAACCCCTGGGTCTCTTTCCTTTTCACATCCTCCAGGGTTGCCATCCAGGGGGAGTGAGTTCCTCTCACTCCCATTTTCTTAAGGCTTCTACTAATTGTGGGAACCTCTACGCCTGCCAGTTATCATCCAGCCTCACTAGATCAGATCTTATGCCTGGTAACAATGTTGTTTGTGTTTTTGTTCGTTATCTGCAGTACTTTCGATTTATTTTCGATTGTTTTCTCCTGATTTTCGACGGTTCCTGCTGTTGTTATGATTTCATCCTGACAGGGTCGCCACTTTGTCGGAACTGTTTCTCCAGACGATAAACTCACGCTGCCTACGATCAAGAACAGAACTATTTTAATACTTCTATCCCTCTCTCGGTAAAGATTACAAACTCTCTCCATGTGCTTTCTGTGCTGGTAGATCACTTTCTGAAACAACATCCTATAATATCTATCAACCTGGTTTCCAGCCCCTGATGACCTTAGAGAGCGCCTGACTAGTTCAAAAAGTGAAAAAATTCAAAGAAATATTCTTAACGTCCTAATACCAGTCTACGAATTCTCACAGGTCAATGGTTGTATTATAAGTTCTGGTATTGATTTCTTTCTACCCGTTCGTGAGTACTTACCTCTGTATGTGAAAAACAACTTTTTTACCCCAATAAAACCTCTGACACCCAGGGTAGGAGCTGTTAGATTCAGGTCAAATCATGATTTTTTTGAGAGATGAACTAAATTGCGCTTGGTATTGACCTTAACAGAGGTTGTTTGACTTTGACATAACTTTGGATCCACACAGACATTCTACTGTGGCTAAAGAGGATGAATAAAAGATGTTTTACCTCCCTATTCAAACACTACGCTTCGGCAAGAAACGTTCGCCCATTATACAAATAAATCTTCCTGGGGTGGCCTTTTCTCGTGATGAACCTTTAGAGATCCATGACGAACTCCTCAGCTGTGTTGTTTGGCAGCAACTCCAGGTGGACAGCTCTGTTTAAGCTGCAAGCAAATAACAAAATATATGTTTTTCCTTCTTTCTTTGTCGTGATTTTGTACCCTATAGGTCCTGCAAAGTCCAGGCCAACTACTTGCTAGACTGGAGGGTTAAGTCTGTAGGCAGGTTGGTCTTGATGTTGGTATCATGAATTTCCACGCCCTTGAGGAGTTTGTACTTGGTGATTACATGCACTCCGGGTTTGGGATAGTTAGCAAAGTTGCCTTGTATACTTTCCTCAGGGTAGTGGCCAAACTGAAAACTCCGGTACTGTTGGAGAGTTTGACCCTGTACATTTCTATCTTCTGAGTTGTCGACGTCATCATCATTTCGATTCTCTTATACTCTCTTCGATCTGGCTCTCTGTTCAGTTCGCTAATGAGTGGTGCTGATAAATAGGAGCTTCCATCTCTGCTGTCCAATAAAGCTCCACACCTAATTCCAATAACTTGTACCTCAACTACTTGGGTACATCACTTGACCTCCACCCGTTGCTAACATCACCTGGTTTGAAAGCTTATCAGAAATCGAACTATGGTGCTTCCCATTACCCTTCTGGCAAGTAGTAGTGCATCTGCATTCTGTCGCTCTATGCCTAGTGCCAGGACTGTTAAACACAACTTATTGTTTGACAAGTACCTCCTCCTGTCGGCTACCCCTTCAATGTTGTCACAGTCAACTGATTTATGTTCCTCAGACTTACAGTAAACATAACCGCTATGCTTCCACCCTCTTGTTTAGCTTGAAACAATGGATCTTGTTCTCTTGTCACGTCTCCTATGGTTGCCATCCAAGGGCACTGAGTTCCTCTCACATCCATTTTTTAAGGCTACTGCTAATTTCGGGAACCTCCACTCCTGCCAGTTATCATCCAGCCTCACTAGATCAGCTCTTATTCCTTGTAGTTTATCTAGGGTAAGTCTAACATACCCTCTAATATCTTTGTCCTTACCCATGGACTCTAAGGTTTGGACATTGGTGATCAGTTTCTCATAGGACTCATTAATTCTTGTTGGGTTAGTCTCTGTGATACCTGGTAATCCCATTATGCACTGGATGTAAACATTAGCTACTTCCCTTGGCTTTGCATATTTGTTCATGAGAATGTTCTTAGCTGGTGTGTATTCCTGACTGTTAAAGCGCAACCCATCGATGTGTACTCTAACTCTTGGTAGAAGTAGTTCTTTCAAGTATGAGAATTTGGCAACTTGACCGATGTTTGATTTGTCTCTTTCCGCTTTAAACTGTCCCTTAAGCCTTTGCCAATCTAGATGCGTCTCCTGGCATTTCGTTATCACTAGTTTGGGTAGTTCTTGATCTCAAGTCTCGCTTTTTCCTCTTTCTCCTGAGTTTCTCTTACTTCTTATTCCCTTTACTTTTGTTCCAGCTCTTCTAATTCTTCGACCACTTTCTCGTACTTACCGAACTCTGCTTGAATTCCTAAACTCCAATCTTTAATGGCATCTTTTTCGTCACCTCAAAAAATTTTAAGTACTTGTACAATCGCTTTTGTTTCATGGCATTTTTCAACTTTGCTCTCCATGAACTTTCGATGTCTTTGCATCGGTTTCAAGAAATTGCCTCCAGCAAATCTTGTTTGTGTTTTTGTTCGTCAGCTGCAGTACTTTTAATTTGTTATAGATTGTTTTCTCTTGATTTTCGACAGTTGCCTCTGTTGTTGTCATGATTTTGTCCTGGTAGGGTCGCTACTTTGTCGGAACTGTTTCTCCAGACGATAAACTCACAGTCGCTATGATCAATGCTTTTTAATGCTTGTAACCCTGTCTTGGTAAAGATTACAAACTCTCGCCTTGTGCTTTTTGTCCTGATCGACCACTTGTTGAAACAACATCCTATAATATCTATAAACCTGGCTCCCAGGCCCATATGCCCCCAGAGAGTGATTGACTTGTTAACAGTGAAAAAACAGGAACAAATATTCTTAACATCCTAGTATCAGGCTACGAATTCTCACAGGTTAAAGGTCCTATTATTAGTTCTGGTATTGAAATCTTTCTACCGTGTCTTGAGTATGTACCTCTGTATGCGCAAAACAATTTTTTTTACCCCCAAATAACTTCTGGCTCCTTGGGTAGGAGCTCTTAGACTCAGCTCAAAGCATGAATTTTTTGTGGGACGAACTAAATTGCGCTTGGAATTGACGTTAACTGGGTCTGTCGAAGACATCAAACTTGACATTACTTCGGATCCACAGAAACATTCTTCTCTGGCTAAAGCGGATGAGTAGAATATGTCTTACCACCCTATTGAACCACTTCGCTGCGGCCACAAAACTTGGCCCGTTATACAAATTTATCTTCCTGGCATGGCTTTTTCTCATGATAAACCGTTTGAGAAGCTTCATGAACTCCTTAGCTGTTTGTTTTGGCAGGAACCCCGGGTGGACAGCTCTGGTTAGGCTGAAAGCAAATAACAAAATATATGCTTTTCCTTCTTTCTTTGTCTTTAGTTTGTATCCTATATGTCCTGCAAAGTCTAGGCCATTTACTTTGAAATGGGCTAATCCTTTTGTCCTGTCCGTTTGGAATTTTCCAGCTGGTGGGTTTGAAAAAGCGGTAACTTGGAATTTCTTGCTCCCATAGCATCCTCTGATAACTGTCTTTGTGAGCTGTCTTGGCCGAGGTACCTAATATTAGTGACGAACAAAACTCATCGTAAGTCCCTTCCCCCCTTGAAAACTTAGCAGATGTTTGTCATGGACAATTGTCTCTGTTAAGAAGGCATCTGGTGGTAAGTAGAAAGTGTAGCTTTCATGCATCTTCGTCTACACTCGTAGACAGCTTCTTCTGTCATCTGCAAATTAGGTTGGAGCTAATCTTCTTGGAACGTGTCTGTGTTTAACCTGCTGTTTTGAGCTCTTCCTACCCAGTATTTCACTCACTTGTCAGTCTCACATGTGGTCAATGGACCAGACAACCGGTATTTCTTGCCTTTTTTGCAGTTTCGGATAAATCTTGCTACCCATGTTGTAGTACGTATTGTCTGCCAGAATTCATGTTTCTGTTAAACCTTGTGTAGAGTCTCCTTCATCTTACTGGCCCCATCAAACACTTCCTTTACTAGCTTAGCCTCTGGTTGTCTTAGTTTGCACCAAAGCTGGCCACATTTCTGGTTTAGACATCCAGTTTGGTCCTTTCATCCAGAGTTAAAGACACTCTCTAGACAGGGTGCCTGTGCTCTGTTGCCATATACCTCTACTTCACATAGGTCGTGGCATTAATTTGAGAACGTCTATCGGACACAAATTGTTTCGAGCTACCTTAATCAGCGATCCAAAAGAAGACTACTGTACTGACTGTCTATCCATGCAAAGTCTTCACTACATATCCTTTCAAAGCGCTTCAAGGTCTTCGCAAGGTTCCTTCAATAAGAAATGGCGACTGCAGAAGTCCAATAAAACCCGCGTGAGCCTCAAATTCTCAACTTGTGATGAGTCTATATCGCTTATCTATGAAATCGAAAGGTGTCACGATCTGCTTCTTTAAGTGGCACCTGCAAGAAGGCCTGCTTAATAATGTCTCCACAAAAGGCAACTGGTTTGAGGCGATTTCGAACCAGTACACTCCAGAGGAAACTTTATGCAGGTGGCCCTTTCTCTAAGCAATCGTTCAATGAAGGGCCACCTTGGTTTGCCTTAGCTAATGCATCAAAGACAGTACGCATTTTGGTACTCTGTGCTGCTTCTCTTATGACGGCTTTGTGTAGTAGATGACATTCTCTTTCCTCTTGAGTCTCATCGCTCACTCTCTCCACAATACCTTGTTTCAGTTGGTTGTGGATTATTTCGTCATACTCATCTAGATGACTGGGTACCTTCTGCAATTTCTTCATTAGGTTAGATAGTCCTGCGATTGTTAGGGAGGGGTGGATTTCCAGCTTTCCACAGCAGACCAGTCTCGTTCGCTATACACCACGTGTTGATCACCGGCTGGTCTCTTCTCTAATCCCAGTACATTAAGGCCGCACATTTAGTCGTAGTATGATGAAGATCTTCAAGTTAGGAACACACTTTCCCCTTAGGTACACACTTTTCCCTTGTCACGTCTCCCAGCGGGGCCATCCAGGAGGACTGAGTTCCTCTTACGCTAATTTTCCTAAAGCTTCTACTAATTGCAGGAACCTTCACTACAGCGAGTTATCATCCAGCTTCACTAGATTAGCACTTTGCCACGTAGTGTATCTAGGGTAAGTCTAACATACCCTCTAATATCTTTCTTCTTACTCATGAACTCTACGGTTTGATATTGGTATCCCTTTTCTCAAAGAAGGTATTAATTTTTGTTGGTTTAGTCCCTGTGATAACTGACAATCCCATTATTTACTTGATGTGAGCGTTAGCTATTTCCCTTGGTTTTCCATATTTGGTCATGAGAATGTTCTTTGCTCGTGTGTATCCCTTACTGTTAAAGGGCAACCCATCGATGACATCTCTAGCTCTTGGTTCAAGTAGGTCTTTCAAGTATGAGAATTTGGCTACTTGACGAATGTCTGACTTGTCTCTTTCCACTTCAAACTGCCCCCAAAACCTTTGCCAATTTATGTGTGTGCCCTAGTTATTGTTATCACAAGTTTGGGTAGTTCTTGATCTCAAGTCTCGCTTTTTCCTTTTTTTCTTGAGTTTCTCTTTCTTCTTTTTCCCTTAACATCTGTTCCAGCTCTTCTAATTCTTCGACCACTCTTTGGTACTTGCCCAGCTCTTCTTGAATACCCAAACTCCAATCTTAAATGACATCTTCATCGTCACCTCGTCCAATTTTAAGTACTTGTGCAATCGCTGTTATTTCCTGGCATTCCTCAACTTTGCTGTCTATAAACTTCCGATGTCGTTGAATGGGTTTCAACAAATTGCTTCCAGCAACCTTGTTTGTGTTTACATTCATCAGCTGCAGTACTTTCAGTTTGTTTTGGATTGGTTTCTCCTGATTTTTAACGGTTGCCTCCTTTCGTCCTGACAGGGTCGCCACTTTGTGGGAACTGTTTCTCCAGACGATAAACTCATGCGCGCTATGGTTAAGAACAGAACTCTTCTAATACTTCAAACCGTCTCTCGGTGAAGATTGCAAACTCTCGCCATGTTCTTTTTGTGCTGATCGATCACGTCTTAAAACAACATCCTATAATATCCATAAACCTGGCTCCCAGGCCCCAATGACCTTAGAGAGTGCCTGAGTAGTTCACACAGTGAAAAAACACGAACAAACATTCTTATCATCCGAATATCAGTGTACGAATTCTCACCGGTCAAAGATCCTTTTATTAGTTCTGGTATTGAAATCCTTCAACCCTGTACCTCTGTATGCATAAAACAATTTTTTACCCCGATAAAACCTCTGGCACCCAGGGTAGGAGCTGTTAGACTCAGGTCAAAACATGAATTTCTTTGGGAGAGGAACCAAATTGCGCTTGGAATTGACCTTAACTGACTTTGTTTGACTTGTTGGAGACGTCAAACTTGACATTACTTTGGATCCACTGAAACATTCTACTCTGGCTAAAACGGATGAATAGAACATGTTTAACCACCCCGTTCAACTACTTGACTGCGGCACTAAAGGTTTGCCCATTATATGAATAAATCTTCCTGGGTTGGCCCTTTCTTGTGAGGAACCAGTTGAGATGCTTGATGAACTCTTCAGCTGTTCGGTTTGGCAGCAACTTCAGGTGGCCAGTTCTGTTTAAGCTGGAAGGAAATAACAAAATACATGCTTTTCCCTCTGTCTTTGTCTTGATTTGTATCCTAGAAGTTCTGCAAAGTCCAGGCCAACTACTTAGAAAGGGGCTAATTTTTTTTTTTTAAGTAGATAGCTTAGCTTCCCTGCATTCTTCCTCTACACTCGTACAGACCCTCTTCATTCTTCTGCAAGTTACGTTTGAGCTAATCGTCATGGAACGTGTCTGTGTCTAAGCTGCTGTTTTGAGCTTTTCCTACTTAGAATTTCACTTGCTTGTCAGTCTCGCGTGTGGTCAATGGACCAGACAACCGATACTTCTTGCCTTTCTTACAGTGTTAGGTACATCTTGCTACCCATGCTGGATACGCATTGTCTGGAAGAATTCATGTTTCTCTTAAACCTGGTACAGGGTGTCCTTCATCGCTGTGGCCCCAGCAAATTCTTCCTTTACTAGCTTGGCTTTTGCTTTTATCTCTTTACTTGGCTTAGTTTGCACCACCTCTGGTCACATTTCTGGTATAGACAGCCAGTTTGGTCCATTCAGCCAGATTTCAAGACACTCTCTTGACAGGGTGCCTCTGCTCTGTTTCCGAATACCTCCACTTCACTTAGGCCGTGGCATTAATTTGAGCAACTCTATTGGACACAAATTGTTCTAAGCTCCCGTGACCAGTGATCCAATGCAAGACTACTGTACTGTCTGTCTGTCCATACAGAGACCTTACTACATATCTTTCCAAAGCGCTTACATTGTCTACAAGGTTGGCTGGCATTTGAGCAAAATTGAGGTCCAACTTTGGCATGGTAAGCCCTTTCTTTTCTAACACTGCCTTTGCTCCTAAAAGACCCTGGTGCATACCAAATTCTTGTTATATGGCTGCGTACACTGCTGCTGCTGTCCCTTTCCTAGTTGAGTTACAGAATGCATGCAGGACTAAGGCTCGGACCGTTTCTTGAGCTATAGTTAGACTGCGTGCTAATTTAAGCTCACCAGGCCACTTCCCCCAAATTGTCTCTCCTTGAGTAAAACAGTATCCCAAGGAAGGTGTAGGTCACATCCTTCTCTGAAAACCATTTTCCCTACCAAGGTTACAGTACTTGCTACCCCAAGAGGGTCATATATCGAAGGTGAACTCCTTAGCACTTCTCTCTTTGTGGCTTCGTGTGAAACGAAAAGGTCACAGCCAGAGTGGCTACAATTCTTAACTTAAGGGAGCCTGAGTACTTTTGCTTTATTGGTTTTCAACCCCAATTGTTCCTTAGCATATGTCTGTATGTCCTCTGTCAACTGATCATATGTTTCCAGTTCTGGTACATTAGAGTTCCACTTATGGAATTCGAAATCTACCCTTTAAAAACCTCTGTTGCAGTTCCTTTCAGCTCATGTACTTGTTCAACCGTATCCTCCCCACTGACGATGTCATCAACATTAAGACTTCTCTTCCTCCACATGCTTTGGGTATTCAGTTCTTAAAGCTTGTAAATGTTGGTTTAAAGTCCCTACAAGAAGAAACTGCGACTGCACAAGTCCAAATAAAGCTCGCTTGAACCTGAAAGTCTCAACTTGTGAAGAGTCTTTAGCCCTTATCCAATGAAATCGAAATTCGTCACGATCTGCTTCTCTAAGCGGCACCTGCTAGAAGGCCTACTTAATAATGTCTCCACACAAGGCAACTGGATTGAGACAGTTCCAAACCATCACACTCCAGAGCAAATTTTTTAGAGGTGGCCCAGTCTCAAAGCAATCTTTCATTGAAGGGCTACGTTGGTTTACCTTAGCTATTGCATCAAAGACTACGCGTTTTGGTACTCTGTGCTGCTTCTTTTATGACTGCTTTTTTAGGAGATAACATTCTCTTTCCCCTTGAGTCTCATCGCTCACTCTCTTCACAATACCTTGTTTCAGTTGGTTCTGGATTATTTGTCATACCCATCTAGGTGACTGGGCACCTTCTGCAATTTCTTGATGAGGTTAGATAGTCGTGCAAGGTTGCCTTTTTTATTGTTAGGGGGAGGCGGATGTCCAGCTTTCCGCAGTAGAGCAGTCTCGTACCAACCTTCAGGTGGTGTACCAGTTGCTGTTGGAATTCACTATACACCACCTGTTGATCACCGTCTGGTCTGTGTTCGAATCCCAGTTCTTCAAGGCTGCATCATAGTTTGATGAAGAACCTCTAGTCAGGTGCACATTGCCCGGGTTTGTTTCAGCTCCAGGGGACATTATGGTCCAGCGAATTGATGTGAATTCTGCTATTGGTTCCCCTAACTCTCCACCCTTGATGCTAAATTTGTCTTAATCTTGACATACTTGCTAGCCCCGAGGATCATGTGGCGTGTAAAGGAAATTTGGGCTTGATGTCGGTGTCATCAATCTCCACGCCCTTGAGGCGGGTTCAGGATAGTTAGGAAAGTTCCCATGTCCATTTTACTCTGGGTAGTGGGCAAGCTCAAAACTCTTTCAATGGTAGAGACTTGGACCTTGTACATTTCTATCTTCTGACTTGTCCAAGTTATGATCATTTTGATTCTCTTATATTTTCTTCGATCTGGCTTTCTGTTCAGTTTGCTAATGAGTGCTGCTGATGCATCGGAGCTTCCAGCTTCTATGTTCAAGAAAGCGCTACACCTTACTCCATCCACTTCTACCACAACTGCTGGGTACTGCGCTCGACCTCCACCTATTGCTAGTATCAGCTGGTTTGAAAGCTTATCACAAATTGAACTATTGCGCTTCCCATTACCCCTCCGGCAGGTAGTAGTGCATCCATATTCCACGGATCTATGCCTGGTCCCAGTTCAGTTAAAACACACCTTTTTGTCTGACAAGTACCTTCTCCTGTCAGTTCCCCCATTAATCTTGTCACAGTCAACTGATTTATGTTCCGTAGACTTACAGTAAACAAACCCCCTATGCTTTCCACCCTCCTATTTAGTTTGAAGCAATAGGTCTCTCTCTTTGTTACGTCTGCTAGGGTTGCAAACCATGCGGACCGAGTTCCTCTCGCACCCATTTTTTTAAGACTTCTACTAATTGCGGAAACCTCCACTCCTGCCAGTTATCATCCAGCCTCACTAGATCAGCTCTTATACCTGATAGTTTGGCTAGGGTAAGTCTAACATACCGTCCAATATCTTTTTTCTTACCTATGGACTCTAAGGTTTGGATACTTGTAACCAGTTTCTCATAGATCTCATTAATTCTTGTTGGGTTAGTTTCTGTGATAACTGACAGTCCCATTATGCACTGGATGTGAACAGTACCCACTTCCCTTGGCTTTGCGTATTTGGTCATGAGAATGTTCTCAGCCGGTGTGTATTCCTCACTGTTAAAGGGCAACCCATCGATGAGAGCTCTAACTCTTGATACAAGTAGTTCTTTCAAGTATGAGAGAGTGGCAAGTTGAGCAATGTCTGTTTTCCCTTTTGTCGCTTCATACTGCCCCTAAAACCTTTGCTAATGTAGGTTGGTCCCACGGAAGTTTGTTATCACAAGTTTGGGTAGTTCGTGATCTCAAGTCTCGCTTTGTCCTCTTTTTCGTGAGTTTTCTCTTGCTTCCTGTTGCCTTAACTTTTGTTCCATCTCTTTAAATTCTTTGACCACTTTCCAATTCTTTCGTATTTGCCCAACTCTACTTGAATTCCCGAACATATGTTATCTTTACCCAAAAATATGTCATGTTTAATGACATCTTGTTTGTCACCTCGTCCAATTTTGAGTACCTTTATAATCGCTTTTATTTCATGGCATTCCTCAATTTTGCTCTCTGTAAAACTGCCATGCGTGAATCGGTTTCAACAAATCGCTTCCAACAATCTTGTTTGTGGTTTTGTTTGTCAGCTGCAGGACTTTCAATTTGTTTTGGATTGTTTTCTCCTAATTTTCGACGGTTGCCTCTGTTGTTGTCATGATTTCGTCCTGGCAGGGTCGCCATTTTGTCTGAACCATTTCTTCAGATGATAAACTCACGGTCGCTACGATCAACTGATCAACTTTGGATGCGTGTTATCCTTTCACTATTTCCGCTAGTAAGTGCCCCCAAAACCTTTGCCAATCTAGGTGCATCCCCTGGAAATTCGCTACCACAAGTTTGGCTAGTGTAATATTTAGTTTACCTGCATCACTCTCCGTCTCGACGGTTTTCGCTTCTAATTTCCTCTCGATCTGAAGTCTCACTTTCTCCCTCTTTACTGAGTTTCTTCTTGCTTCTTGTTCTCTTAACTTTTGTTCCAGTTCTTCTAATTCTTCGACCGCTTTCTCGTACTTGCCCAACTCTGGTTGAATACCCGAACTCCAGTCTTAAATGACATCTTCTTCGTCACTTTGGCTAGTGTTAAGGTCTTGTACAATTGCTTGTGTTTCGTGGGAGTCCTCCTCTTTGCTCTGCATAAACGTCCGTTGTCTTTAAGGTGGGTTTCATCAATTTGCTTCCAGGAATCTTGTTTGTGTTCTCGTTGGTCAGCTGCAGTACTTTTAATTTGTTTTGGATTGTTTTCTCCTGATTTTCGTTGGTGGCCGCTGTTGTTGTCATGATTTTGTGCTGGTAGGCTCGCCACTTTGTCGGAACGGTTACGCTCGCTACGATCAAAACCAGAACTGTTTTAATGCTTGTAACCCTCTCTTGGTAAAGATCACAAACTCTCGCCATGTGCTTTTTGTGCTGATCGATCACTTCTTGAAACGACATCCTATAACATCTATAAAGCTGGCTCCCAGGTGACCGATGACCTTAGAGAGCGTCTGACCAGTTCACAAAGTGAAAACACAGGAACAAACGTTATTAACATCCTAATATCAGTCTACGAATTGTTACAGGTCAAAGGTTCAATTGTACGTTCTAGTACTGAAATTCTTTTATCCCGTCTTGAGTACCCCTCTGTATAGGAAAAACATTTTCTTTTTTACCCCGATTAAAATTGTGGCACCCAGAGTAGGAGCTGCTAGACTCAGGTCAAAGCATGAATTTTTTTGTGAGACGAACTAAATTGCACTTAGAATTGACCTTAACTGAGTTTGTTTGACTTGTTGGAGACGTCAAACTTGACATAACTTTGGATCCACAAAAACATTCTACTCTGGCTGAAGCAGATGAATAGAACATGTTTTACCACCCCATTCAACCACTTCGCGGGGGCGACAAAATTTCGCCCGTTATACGAATAAATCTTCCTCGGGTGGCCTTTTCTCATGATGAACGGTTTGAGATGCTTGATGAACTCCTCAGCTGTTTGGCTTGGCAGCAACTCCAGGTGGACAGCTTTGGTTACGCTGCGAGCAAATAACAAAATGTATGCTTTCGTTCTTTCTTTGTCTTGATTTTGTATACTTGGAAAGGGGTGATCCTTCTGTCTTGTCTGTTTTCAATTTTTTCGCTGTTGGGTGTGAGAAAGCGGTAACTTGGAATTTCTTGCACCCATAGCATCCATTGACCTGTTCTTAAGTCTCTACACTGTTGGAAAGCTTTCCGTTGGAAACAAAAATTCTGCCAGTTTGCAGCTGTTAGGTATCAAATGCGACAACAACAATTACAACAACAAAACGTTATTAATAAACATGTAATAATACAGAACCATGTGTACAAAATATGAAATAGGGATAGCAAGGATAAAGAAAGCCTAGGTAATCGAGCCTCTGATTGTCTTCTAGAATCAGTTGTGGATATTTTAATGTTTTCTTTTTTCTTTTTCAGAGCAATCACCAACTTGTGGACACGAATGCCCATGGCACCGAGAAAATCGAGTCATTTGCTGGTGATTCCAAGTCGTTTGATACTTATACAGAAGAATGTTCAGGTAGCATGACGCAGAAAGATGTTTTGATTAGAAAGCTGAAAGATGACCTCGAGCACGCACGCAAACAGCAGCAACAAACTGCGAGGGAGTTAAGAGATTCCGAGCTGTCTATAGCTCGCCTTCAAGGGCAGATTGGAAAACTAAGGGACGATCAATCGCTGAAACGGTCCGACGTAGCTGCCAAAGACCATACTCTGCGAGCTATGGAAAAACAGCACATGGACAGCAAAGTTAAGGTTGGTTGACTCCAGGCTCTTTTTTCTGGCTTCTAGGCTACGTTCACAAAAGACCGGACGAATGTTTGACCAGTCGAAAATGCTTTCGTTGAGGTGATCCATTCACACGCAACCTCTTTAACCGTGCGAAAATTTAGGTGCTTAGCTGTTCAATGTTTCGTGTGAACAGAGCAAGAATATTGATTGTTCCGTGTGAATGAAGAGTCCATTCAAATTTTCAGTCGGTAGAAGACTTGTTCAGTGCCATGTGAAGGTACATGTAGCCCAAGTATTAATTTTGGGGTACTACGTTTTTTGAGGGCAGATATGGGTCTGTTAAGATAGCCTTAAACCCTGACCCAGCTACAGTTAGGGACAAAAGTGTTGAGACACTTCTATAAAAAGGCCCCTTTTTAAATAGTTGACATAACCGTCCCCTCCCCCTGTGTACCTCTACCCCCTCCCCCCAAAAATCAATTTTGTATTTTAGACCTTCAAGTCTTTCTTTTACTACAAATAACTTTGATTCGGGGGTGGGCGATTTACGGCCTTTAAATAGAATGAAGTAATGAATGAAATTGCTGATAAAAGCACCCGTCTTAGACAAGTGTGTCAACTAAGTTTGTCCCTGATTGAAGGCCCTGGGTATGATCCAAGAGACCTATTGTTAGCTTCCTATATTTACCACTGGAAAGTTGTAAAGGGTTTCAAAAGAGGTTACAGCAACATATTAACCTTAATTTACCTCCGGCTGTGTTTATTGAACAAAGGTGAGTGGAAAGCAAATGCCAGAAACAAGTAAAATAAATCAAATTAAGACGGAATCTATCAGGAAATTAAGTAATTTTAATTTTCAGCTGGCAAAAACCTTGTACCATTGTACCAGAATATTTTAAGCCATATCACATTATTTTATTGCATTTTTCAAGGGCTATAGGTGTAATTTGTTTTCTGTAATAACACCAAAGACAATTTCTTATGGGAGCCCGAGAAAATAAATTTCAAATATCACAAGAACTGATAAAAGACGGTAAAATTATCATCCGAAAGATTTCATTTTGTGAAATTTGAAGCTTTTGAAGTTTGTTTTTATATAACGCTTAATGATCCAATTTTTTTTTGTGCCTCTGACGCAGTCTAGGAACGATCGTGTGCCTCAGTTTCTGATCTTTTTTCCTTTTGTTTCTTTTTGTTGTTGTTTTTTTTCTCAGGTGGCGAGACTTCAAGAAGAAAATCGTGAACTTAAGAGCAAAATTCAGTCGTTAACAGACTCCAGCGGCGGGATCCCTCTTGATCTGTCTCGCGAGTTTGAGCAGAGAGTGAAGCGGCTAGAGGCTGAACTGGAAGTTGTCGAGGATCAGCGACGTAAAGCTACACAGGAGGTGGTAAAACTACAGAGTCAGCTTAGCGAAAGCCAACACGCTGCCAGGGGGCACAAAGAAGTTTTAGTTAGCGAGGTTAGTTGCTGTCCTTGTGCGCTTACCATTGAACAAAAATTCCGGTTTCAAATTTTGGATTTTCTACATGATTATTGGAACGCTACATTCCGGTTGTATAGACCCGATCCAAGCCACCGCGCGTTTGGTTATTATACTTGAAGCCGGGATACAGAAGAGCGATACTGGAACAACAATTTTGTCAAATGGAAAGGGAAATTTCGGTGCTACCAACCGAAATGACCGGACGGGTCGAAGTGTACCACCATCAAATATTCCGGTCGAATCGAACCGAAATGGTCCGTTTCATTTGGTTTCTAACTGAAATTTCCAGAGTTTTGGGCTGAATGGCAAGCATCCCTTGTTACATCGAATAGCCAATGATCTAAGCAGGCAGTAGTTTAGTGTACGATGAACTGTGGACAGTCACTCTTGTGTGGAGATGACTGTTTTCAAGCTGCGAAGTCCCAAGACGTGCTTTGCGTCGGCTTCTCCGCCGCCTATATAATAGCGCAAAACCCAATGCTAAACCTAAATAAGAGAGGAGCTTGAAACTTCATGTATTTTGCGAAGCTTCAAACGGGAAACAAGCCGGAGGTAGTCTGTTCATAGAACTTCTATTTTCTCTTGTTCTGGCTTTTCTGTGCTAGCCAAATTCCTTACAAAATCATAACGGAAGAGAAGAAGAAACGTCAGTGGATAGACTTAGGGCGAGGCGAAAAGGGCATTCCTCGCCTCGCGCTCCACGCTGTTCTCAGACTGTCGCGGGCCTCAACTACATCCCCGCCTCGCATCCATCAGTGTAGGCCATCGCCAGATAAAGGCACGGTAACCTAAAAGGCCTGGGGACGAGGTTTGAGCTGGAGGAAAAGGCGGGAAAATTTTCACTTTTTTGCTTAACTACTACCTAAAAATGTACCCTGCGCCACAGACGAGACTAAACTCTGGTTAAGTCCGTCAGCGAAACAACGCCGAAATCATTGTTCTGGGTCCCCACCTGTGTACCAGGATTTGAGTACGCGCCATGATTGGCCTATTAAAAAGCCATTGCCGATTTGCCTATCAGGATGAAAGGAAATTCGAAACCCATTTCCGGTAATTCGTTGAGTCCGCTGGGTGCCCAAAACAAGGATGTGGGCGCTGGTTCGCAGACGTTACTTACCGAGGTTAAAGACGTCTGTGACACAGGTTAGAAAAATGGAACTCCACGGATGACAACTGCTATTTGATTTCGTATTCCAAAGAATTATGCAGATCGACGAGGGTGCTCTCCGCCGCGTTCGCCTTCGGCCTCGGTGGATAACACCCTGGTCGTTAAATAGACCTCTAAGTTTTACGCCCTGCTCTCTTGCGTCGGTCCTTCTAGTGGCATTTTAACCGAAGGCGGACTGATTCTTGACACCTACTAAAAGAAGTACTCCCTGTGAAATTATAAGATAAGCCACCTTTTTTCTTTGTTTCAGTTGACATCAAGAGATTCAGAGCTGGATAATTTGAAAGACAGATACAACACTGCCCTTAAGGAGGTAAGCTGTTATCATATCCTGGAATAAACGCTTCTTCTACCAGTTTTTGTGAAAACCAGGTGTAAAGCGGGCGTCAACAACGTCCCAGTGGATAACACAACATCTCGAGAAGGCACTTTGTTCCGTTGCTAAACCCAATGAACCTTTTGCGCGCCTGCGAAAAATCAACCACCTGGCGATTAGTCATCTTCGAACCCCATTTATAATCTTTCTCGCAATTTTAAACTCCATTACGTTTATATTTCCTCAAACTTACGTTTTGTGACTTTTTTGGGTTGCAAATATATGCAGAGTGATACCTCTAATTCTCAGCTTTATTTTCAGTCTGGTGATTGTTTTCAATGCCAAAGCCCCCCAACCCCCCCCCCCCCCCCCCCCCTTCCCCTCGTGTTATCTCCTCTGCAAGGTAAAAAGGAATATTGCATCTAGGTTACCACTCATCCCTTGTTTTCAGATTCAGGAATACGAAAAGGAGATTCGTCAGCTAAGAACAGATCATGCCAACTGCAGTTACGAGGTAGGTATTTGTCAATCAGGTCATACCAGTACAAACCAAGTATACCCCACTTCAAGAAAACTGTAGGGATAATAGTTACAACCATTGGGCGTAGTGATTTTTGGGATTGTTTGGGCGGACAAGCGTAAGTTATGATTGTTTGTTGGTATTCAAGGCAATCATTAACCAATCATACTTAACACCTGTCCACCCAAATTATCCCAGAACTAGTTGCACCGAAAGCTTACACTAATATCACTGTTTAAAAGCATTGTTTTTGTTATTCAAATTTGTAACAAGTGAAACAAAAGAATCTTTTGTTTCAAGAACCAATGCGCTTCTGGTTGCGACATTGATATCATATAGATGACGCAAGCTTGAGTATCGCTATAGTTCATTCCGGAATGAACAATTCATAGATGGTTTAAACTTTTAAGTATGATAAAACAGTAAATTAAGTAACGAACTAATTAATATTCTAATTGTATGTTATTCTTATTTTAGTGTAACGGGAAAATGTTGGCCATAAAATGAAACTATAATTTCGTTAATTTTTTTTATTTTTTATTTTTTTCGGAGAACGCACTTAGTAAAAAAGGCAAGGCACTATTTCACACGTACCACGATACTTTCGGTTAATTTCAGTTGTCTGTTAAACTAAAGATAATTAATCAATTTCAACATACACAGACATACAGTGAACCTTTCGTCAGAACTCGAACAAAAGACATGAACAAGACACCAAACGCCGGAAAATTGTGTCACGTTCCTGATTTGTTTAAAAGTGGCGCTTAATCTTTTAGCCAATCACAGAGCAGAGAAAACGAGGACCAAAATGATGGCAAATTAAGCCAACGTTTTCAACTTAAAATACTATGCCTACAAAAATCACCAAAAATTATTATGATTAGTGGTCATTGATGAAATTTGTCCGATATCTTCTTCCAAACTCAACAGGAACATTTTTTGTGAGGGTAAAGACACTAAATAATGACTTTAGCTCCGAGAGATTGACCTAAAACAGCAGTATCCTCGTGACGTAGCTTATGGCAGCCCCGCCTCCTCTCAGGAAAAATCGGGGAAGACCCCTTCACGCCCCTTCTCTGATTTTTCCTGAAGGGATGGGGGGGGGAGTGGGAGGTCTGTACACAGGCTACTCGTGACGTAGTTTCTTTAACTCTAATTTACTTTTTAAGTTGGAGAAAAATAAAGTCCACATACAGCAACTGGAAGGTGATGTTATCAGGTGTCGCGAGCAGGTTTCTCGATCAGAAGAAGAATGTAGAGCGGCACAAAGGGAACTGAAGCGACTGCAAATGGACGCTGATGATCAGAGAGATGCGCTCGCTAACGAGGTAAGCTGTACCAAAAACAACAACAATAATGCTTATTTTCCCTTAAGTTTCTATTTACAATAGCCTGTGTAGCAAGCGTTTTCGCTCGAGTTACTGGAACGAGAGCAAAAAGTGGAGTTAGGGGGAGAGCAGAAGAAAGAAACTTTCTTTCCCCTGCCCCTCCCCCTTCTTTCATTTTTTTTTTTTTCTCGTTTCAGCTTAAGCGCATTAACTGGAGTGGAAACGCTCTCCACGCGGGCTTTATTTACAAAAGTGCATGGGCCCGCAGGTTGCTAGTCTAATCTTGGCGGGCCAGTCAATTTACGCGTAGAGAATAATTCTGTTATTTTATGTACATATTTGTCTATATATAACGGATTATACAAAGGAGAGAAAGAACTTACAGCATACTTTAAATCTGGTCTCGTTCTCCTTTTAGAGTGATTTACTTTATCGCCCATTAAACAAATGAATTGGTATCAATTATTTAAACAATTTAACTAAAAACTAGACGCCCGCGCGTTCTCAAGTCCTTGCAATCAAAACAGAAAAGTAATAAAACTTATACCAAACTATAGATCGATAGCAGAATATTTCGACACTTTGCACTTCAGTTTTGTTATTTTCTAAGCGCAGTTTCTCGTGTTAGGTTGCAGAAAGGCATGATGTTATCTTGAAGTTGAGGTCAGAAGTATCTTCCTTGGACGATAAACACCGAGAGGCTGTTGCCCAGGTAACACTTGATTGAAGTCAAAGTAAATGCAAAAATTTAGCAGCCTCTTCCTTTGAAGATATTTTTTATTTCCTTTTTTGATTCTTTATTTTCCCTTCAGGCCAGCTGGAGAGATGAAGGACTGTTTTAGGGGTCCAATTTCTCCTATTTGCCGAATTATTTGCAAATGAGCAAGAACAATAGATTTTGCTAATTAGCACTTACATTTTTCCAGGTGTCTAGTACAGTTGCTTGTTGCAGAGTTACTTTGACTATGTATAACGTGCAAATTTCGAGATGAAGCAAAGTAAAGGCACCATTTTGCGTCACTCTCTTGGGCCCGGTCCCCCGCACGAGCCTAAACCAAATCGAGGTTGAATGTTAAAAAAAATGTTTTGAATCTGAAATTTTCGTAATTACACAAACTAAAATTTTGAAAATTTTAAAAATAACTCTTCCGAATATATGCCCTCACATTCGCAACAGTAAATCGATATAGTCCCTCTGAGAGAAAAAAAATTCCCCAGTGGGTTATATTAGAGATCTGCCCTTAAGTAAAACAAAATCATTGTTGTAGAAACTACCGAATGATCTACAGTTCTCATTACGGTATGAACTATAAACTGACTTATTAGCTGTAAATCTGGTTTACCATATATTAAATGGTTCCTGATGTCGCGTCTTTGCTATCGGTGACTATTACTGTTGTTGTTGTTTTGCCATTTATGAGGTACGGTACTCTGTTTTCAATAAAGTTTATTGCTGTTTTATTAGAAATCATGCCCCAATATTAAACAATTATTGGAGGAGGTTTTGATTATACCCGGAATAATCTCACTTACCGTGACCTTGATTATTCCGGACGTAAAAAAAGACAATCTGAACCTAATAACTTTTCAAATCTAAATACATTATTTTAAAGAAAATAATGAAAAACATAATGTCACAGGAAAGACCGTTTAACATTGGGCTTGGAAATCATGCATTGCGCGCGCAACCTACAGATTTGTCAGTTATCTGCCAGCAGATACCTAGCTAATCTGTAGTTTACACTGATTTCTAAAATTAACTATAAGCTCTTACCCCAAGAGAAGGACGATAGTAAGTGCAATATTATGTGATAAAATTTACGCTTTGAAGATGACTGACACCAATATCCTCACAAGTTCAAAACGCAAATATTCTTCCACCCTTGAAAATATAAACCCGGGGGACTGTTTTTAAAATTTTATAGTCAGTATAAAATTTTAGAAGATGTATGCGAACCTTGGAAATGAAAAGAAGTCTGACATGATGTTGATTAACGCAGAAAATTTTATGGAGTAATAATTCATGTTGTAACTATAAAAGTGGCGGGCAGAAAAAAAAGGAGTTTTTATAGCTCTTAAATTCTGTCTTAGCATGCCCTTAAAATCTTATTAATTTTAACTCTTTTGTAGAAAGTATGTGATAAGAAAGACTGCAAAGTGGTCTAATTATTGTCGTTGCAAAGGCCCAGTTTTACTCTAAATTCTGCGCTTGATTTATCACAGACCATTATCATTCTGCACATAATAGCTCTATTGTCGAGTCCGCGTCGCTTTGGGAAATTTATTGTTTCTAATTTTTAATGGCCGAGCGAACATCTGTATTGTTTGCATAATTTTGTGCACCGAGATAGCGTCCCTTGAAACGCGTATCAGCGAGCTTCGAAGTTTGCGGAAGGATTGTCGGGTTTTGTTTGTTTGTTCCCTGGGAGTTGGCTAAGCTGTAATGGTGTTTCAAACTGGTTTGTTTTTTCTCTGTTGAAAAGGCCGATATAGAGAAAACCAAGGTATTTTATTAATTTATCCATCCGTTCACTCTGGTGATTGAGACCGCGACCACGACTTTGAGAAGTCTAAATGTAACTGTAAACAAACTTTCTTTGAAGGTTCTTGCAGTCATTTGGCCCAAGCTATGTGATAGGTTTGTCTCTAACATGGATGTTTTGTAGTGATGGTTTGTACGAGGATAGCGACCCTTATATTTCACAACCAAATGCTAGTAGACTAAAGATTTTCAAAAGATAATGTTGTATCAGCTGTTGCATTGTTGATTGAAAAGTTCTTCATCGTTCTTCGTCGATCAAGCAGATCTACCATTCGTCGTAATGTTCCTTCAAGTATACGATGTTTGTAACAAGTGTTTATTATATTTTACAGTTATCTCATCGAAATAATGTGATTCAGAAACTGCGGAACCAAAACAAAGAAATGACAGATACGGTATGACTTATTATATTTTTGTTTGGTTAACGTTCTAATAACGAACAACAAAGATTGAATGGGATTTTTATGTTTGCAGACCAGTCACTTGTTCATCATTTATTTGTAATTATTTTTTGATATTTAGCATGCACTCGATTGTAAATACAGTTGACGCTTTTTAATTCTTTCGATTTGTCCATAGTGACAATTGCATTACAATTTTAGGATTTGCAATATAAATACTAATCCTTCACTTCTCTTAAACAAGCTTGAAATGCGTAATATCCAATATGATATTCACTGAACCCTAAATTCACCAGTGATACAAGAGTTTACGTAAACTTCACCTCTGTAAATTACACGGAAGTTAAATTCTGTTCCTTTTCTTATGATGGTTTAAACTCTAGTTGGTATAGTTTAAAAAAGGTGGTTTGTTATGTTTTTTAGATCGAGGAATACAGCCGCAAACAAGCAGAGCTTGAGAGTAAACTTAATGTCACTACTAAAAGAGTAAGTGGTTATAAGAAATCAGAAATTCTACAGCCATTTTGTCAAGGGGCGGTGGAGAACTGGGGCCAAGCGCTTGTAACGAGGCCAGGAGGTGATTGTGTCGAAGCTGATTCTGTTATCCTTGTTTTTGTAGCTCTCCGACTTGGAAAATCGCTTGGAGCGGAGTCAAATCAGCAGCTTGGAAAAGTCAGATCATCTGGGAAAAGTGGTAGAGTATATAAACAGCAACCTCTTAAGACAGATTTACATTCCGTTGCCACGATCGCACCATACCGCGCAGGGCTTTTCGCGTTCCAGTTTACAAGGAGAAAGCCCTGACAACGAGGTTGCAACGGTCGGTTAAGCAGTTAGCCTCCAACGCAGACATTTTTAGGGCTCCGTCATGCAACGTGAAGCGGGAGTGCGTGAGCTATGAATGTCTACATTGGAGGCAATCATACAGTCGAACCTCTGTAGTAAGGTCACTAAATTAACAGGGTAGAGTGGTCGTATTGTAAATGTAGAGATTGGAGAGATTCGGCTGTTTAGAATTGCAGACTCTCAGGGATTGTTATCATTTCGATCACTTAAAAGTGGTTTATTTGCAACTTCTACGATCTTTAAACTTTCTGTCAGCAATCCCCTGGGTGCTATTACTTGGTGGTGTACAGTGTGCGAAGATCAGCCCAGTGCTGCACCGGTAGTGCAGAGGTCTAGGTTTGAATCCCGTCGAGCCTGTAGATTTTCAGGCTTTCTTTTGGCAACTGTACAACTTGGTCTTTAACTGCAATGATCTTCCTTGCATTTATTTCTTCAGTCCGCGGTTCCAATATATGAATTTCACATATCATTCATTATACTTACGCTTTTGTTTGACAGGTTGAAGGCAAAGACTCAGAATTGCGTGAACTGAAGTCCAAGCTATCAAGTCTTCAAGATCAGCATGAACAAGCCCAGTCTAAGGTGCGAGCCCATTTCCGCCTTTTTTCTTTTGTAAGCACACCTTGCTGTTACGGTGGAGCTCCAATCGAGATCGGGTCATAACTCTTACGTCCGACATGAAGATTTACGAAAAAGTCCTTGGTCTTTCTGGGAAATGGGAATATTTTTAATTCCCCACTTCATAAACTTCAGGGAGAATGTGAACAAACTTTAGGCGCAATGATTTCTAGGATTGGTGGGGTTGACAAGCGTTAGTTATGATTGGCCGATGACCGATGGTATTTAAGGCGACCATGAACCAATCATTTGTAACGCTTGTCCACCCAGAGTCCAGACATCGTTGCGCTGAAAGCTTGAACTCGTTGATTCCCCTTATAATGATCGTAGCTTTCTGTTGACGAGGCCCTCGTGTAACTTGATGTGTTACTTAAAATCGTTGAAAAAAAAAGAAGAACCGACCAAGTATTGTATTTGCTAACCTAAGTAACGTTTACAAAAATAGAATAAATAAAGATATTTTAGGCAAAAAACTGCTCAAAATAGCAAAAAACTAAACGAGCTGAGTAATTACGGTTGACAAAACTGGCGCCATACGGCTATTACTGTGTCTTTTGTAGACTTAAGAATCTGTAATGCTGTTTTTGTTGGTTTAGTGTGTTTGATTGGCCGTTTTGCCTTAATGAGAAAAAAAAAGGAAAGACATACCGCTTGTTCATTTTTCGACATTCCGCGACGCTACCTCTGGTTTCCCCGCGAAATGAAGTCCGAGAAACGACTTCAGAAATTCCACGCAGATGACGTGTCACTACTCAGATCTGGGTTGTGCTTCTGATTGGTTGGCTGCTAGAGAAATTGGCCTCAAGGCAACCAATCAGAGCACTACCCAGATCTGGGTAGTGACACGTCATCAGTATAGAATTTCTGCAGTCGTTGCTCAGACGTCATTTGGCGGTGAAACCAGTTGTGGCGTCGCGAAATGTCGGCTTGTTTCTCAGGCTTGTTCATAGCCATTAAACAGCAACATGCAAGCTGGGTGGCAAACGCTTTGATAGGAAAAGGATCCTATGACTTGACTTTTCATGTGTATTTTTATTTTAGGATAAAATTATTGGAAAGCACCCCTAATCAAATTTCTTGGAACTGAATCCATAGCCTTGCAATTGTTTTCCCATAATACTGAAATAAATAAAAGTAACCGAGTTGATTATGCATTTCCCTTTTCTGTTTAAAGGTATCTCACCGCGAAGAAGCCCTTCAAAGGCTACAAGTTCAACAAAAAGACTTTGTTGAGGAGGTATACATTAATCGTTATGTACCAGTCATTATCTTGTCTTTTACAGGCTGTCACTAAGATTTGAAGTTGTTGAGTAAAATGAAACACGTGAGATGGGGGATCTTACTAGCTTTAAACTCGCCATATCTTAGGATAGTTAATCACTAGTCTTAATTTTTATAAATTGTAATTACCACACGGCATGTCTGAAAACCAGCTTGCTGAGCCATTTACCGTGTTTAAATAAAGTTGATTGATTGATTGATTGATTGAAATACAACAAGTACTGTAGAGCCGGTGGCCAGAGGGTGAAACAGTTAGGGATTTCTTTTGAATCTCTTGTTCTTCTATTTTTCAATGCAAGTAGCCGGGGGAAATCCCTGGCCCCCTGCCCTTAATGACAGCCCCGCTTCCGCGTAGCCTTTACATGGGTCGTAAAGCCGTTTACAGGCAGGGATGGGGGTTCATCTTCATACCTGTTCATGAAGGGTACCGTAAATCCTCTATTAACCCCCCTCCCGGGGGGGGGGGACTTATTTATTTCAAACCCATTTGAAGGGGGGGGCTTAATTGGGAACGGGGGCTTATTTAATTTGGAAAAGATGATGGTATGAGTTCTCCATAAAGAACTACAATACAATACAATCTGGAAAAGCTCAAATACAAGGTTAGAGATCATGCAGCCGAAGATCACAATGAAATCCGAACTTCCAGTTCGTAAATAAACCATCCCAGATCAGTCCACGCGAAGTTTTGCAGTCGTGATTGATTAATACAGTCTATTAGTTTTTACTGCAGAATAATTAGGGTAGGGGAGGGGAAGGTTATCAACTTTCTTTATCTGAAAGGGGGGGGTGGCTTATTAGAGGGAGGGGGCTTATTTGAGAGAAAGAACACATGTTTACTCGAGCAAATTACCCAATGAAAAGGGGTCCATTCAAGGAAGAGGCGTTGATTTAAAATCGACAAGGTTTCCCTGTGACCCATAATACGGTCATTGACATCTTGATATCACCTACAATATGCCCCAGATGAACTCGTTCAAGTGAGTGGAAAGTATATTCCTGACAGTAGATCGCCGCTATAAGCTGCGTATTAAAGCCCCAACAGCGAGCGGCGAAGGTCCTGAGACTACAATAGAACCGCTGTATTGTCTTCTCTGAGACCCACTTGCCACCAATACGAAATAAATAGATTCTTCCCTCTTTAGCGGCATGTGTCCCTTCTCCAAGTCGTTGCCCACTGCGCAAGACAGTGATATCAAGAGGTCCTCGTGCTATCCGTTCAGTTTTTTGTTCGTTTAGATAGTTCAGGATCTTCCTTTATCGCTGTTATTACTTATATCTGCTATTTTATTCACCTCACTTTCATTTTCTTTTCTCAGGTTGCTCGTCGCGAGAAAGCCATTCAAAAACTCGAACTTGAGCTTTTAACAGCTCAAGAAAACCATCGAAGGGCTCTTGATGACGTAAGAAATCTTTCCATTTTTAACATAGACTTGCGTAGAACTGTTTATGATTATTATGGTGATGATGACTATGACGACGACGACGATGATGATGATGATGATGATTATTATTATTATTATTTGTGGTTGACAGATCACTAGACGTGACGACACGATTCAGCAGTTGGAGGGAGATTTGGAAACGAGTAGAAAACAACTCAAAGATGCGATTGAAGAGGTAAATTTCCGAAGTCGAAGAGCTCTATTACAGATTTCGGAGTTCCCTATTATGATCGACTGCTATTAGGACACAAGAAATGTTCGCATTTGGTTTCAAACCCACCTCTTTACTTATACATATATCTATTCTCTCTAGAAAGGAAGACTGGAGGCAAAAGTTCAAGCTTACAAGATTTCCACCCAGAGCGAGCAGGATGTTCTTGCAGAAGAGGTTTGTTATTTGTCGGCTTACCTTTCTTTGCGCACCCCTCTCCAAAGCTGCAACATACGTACGACTGGAAGCTTTCACTCTCCTTCTTTCTTTGCTTCCTTTTCTTTTTTCTTGTTCTTCTTTTCCTTTTCCTGTTAATAAATTGAACTCTAATGCTTTGCTCTTACAGGTCGCCAAGCGAGAGGAAGCTATTCATAAACTGAAGATTGAGAAGTTAGCCCTTCAAGAACAGCAGCAAAAGGCTGAAGACAATGTAAGCATTCGATTTTTGTAACAGAATCAGCTATTGGGATTTTCAACGTTTTCACTATTGCGATTTATATTTTTCTGGTCTCAATCTAGACACGATCAAGTCTACAGAGGATTTTAAATGCCGTAGTCCCCGATAAAGTTTGATTATTGTACCTCACTAATTTTAACTACAAGGCTTTTCAGTTAACGTTTCCACCACTTAAAACTGCTATGAAAAGGTGTTGGTTTTAATCACAAGCTCTTTTTAGGTTCGAGAACATGAACGGTCTGTTGAGCGACTTCGACAGCAGTATGAAGACTGCCTTCAAGATGTAAGTACTGTACAGAACTGTGGCTGTCCCTTTATTTTTTGTCTTCTTTCAAAGTTTTGTCGGCATTTTTATTTACTCCAACGACGGTCTCCACTTCTTTCGTAGATGCAGCAGAGAAATGCCGCCGTGGTTGATATGGAAGCCAAGCTAAATGACATGAAGTCCAAATCTGAGGAATACACCGACAAGGTGTCATGTTGGCTATTTTTATTCTTTTCTGCCTTTTCTGTCCAACTAATTATCTTCGCAATGGTAACTTCCAGGGCCCTGCCTCGCCTCAAACAGCATGGCTCAAACAAAAATAACCCAATTGAAAAAAATAGGCATTTGCAGGTTTTTATAAACAGTCGAAGTCGACATAACTCGAACCCTCGCTTTCGCGCTAACTCCTCGATTTCCCGTGGAAAAATTCACTGTAATTTTACCCTAACTCGAACCCTCGATAACTGAACTCCCGCAACTCGAAAAATTTTCAGGCATTTGAGATAATTTTACCCTCGGGTTTGAGCCCTTAAAAAGTCGGGAAAAAAAAGCCGTCTATTAGAATCATTTTTTGGAGTTCCTATTGGGTTTTTATAGTTTACTAGTGGAGGCTAAACAGGAACGTGAAGCAGCTTTTCTTCTCAAAACAGCAAAACGAATGTCTATTTATATATATTTGTTACGTTTTCTAAAAGTAAATTTTCACTGGATTGGATTTGTTCACTGTCCCTTAGCTCGATTTTCTTCAACTCCCGGTAACGAAGACAACTCGAACATCCGGTTCGAACTTAACCTAAAAATGACGTCGCTACAAGAAGACAGCATCCGTGAACTTAACCTCAGGTGAAGGAGCATGAGGTAAGCTAGTTTTTTTTGTCTTGCTCCCGCGCTCTGTGCGTGTGACAGTCATCCTGAATATTTAAGTGGAAAAATATGCCTATATCTTAAACGAAGAAACTATCTGAGCCATTTGAGGCAAATGTCAAAGAATCTTTGTTTATTGGAATAGCCCACGTTTGATTTCAAACATACCCTGAGGCGTTAGGGTCAAAATTGCAAACTTTTCACGACTCCATTGTCTCGCAGTTACAAATTGACTTAAGCCCAACGAAAGCGAAACCAAATGTAGAAAAATGTCCAGGAAGCCTTGGAGTCGTGTTAGAGTTTTAATATATCGAACATGGGCTATTGTGAAGCCCTAGGGTAAAAAAAGTCACCCAGTATACGCTCGATGCTGGCTCAATTTATACTTTTATACTGTGAGTAGCCTCGTGGTTTGTTTTTGGGTTTCCTCACCACATTTATTTGCTTCTTTGTATTCCTGTATTCTTGTCCTTTGTTTTTGTGGTAAAAATAAACTAGAAAACTGAAAAACCGTAGGTCATTTGAAACAATTCCTTTTCAAATTATGTTGTTGTTTTGGTTCTTTGTTTACAAAGCCAACAAAACTTGATTGGATATAACTTCCCAACCTACGGAACCTTTAATCTTTCTCTTAAGTTTCGCAGTCTTTTTAGCCATCTAGATATTCCGCCCGCATTATTGGAAAGAAAACGTGTGCATTGATGTATTATTTTATTACTTGTTATTTAGGCCAACATGAAAGAGGATATCATTCAGAACCTGGCTTCAGAGATGGACGAGTTACAAGAACAACACAGAGATGTTTTGGCCAAGGTAATGTCCTCGCATTGTCTATATTGTTACAGTCACAGGTACAAGTGTATGTAATTACGAAAGTATGGGCGGAAATCATCTTAGACATCGAGACATGAACAACCAGCATTATAGTTAGAACGCAATAACTCTTGAACGAAAAAAAGGTGAATCTTTCGCAGAATTCAAACTAATTGCCTGTTCGAGAACTCCGTAAAGTACGTTCTGAAAGCTCGGGTGCAATTACTTTCTGGTTTTCGTTTGTTCATGTTTTAATGTAAGTCGATGATTTTGGATATGTGAATCGGCTTTTGGCTGAGTGCGTAGACCCGAAATTGATGAAATAACGCTGGCCAATCACAGTAGAGGGAGGCGAGCGATTGAACCAATCAGATCTCGAAACACTTGAACCTGACACCAAGCGCGGCAAATCGTTTGCGAAGAAGTCGCCGTTGGTTTTGGTTTAATTCTTGATTGGTTGAAAACTGATTGGTGCGGAAATGTTGAGCCAATCATAACGAAAATGATCACAAAATTATGTTGGATATTTATTTTTTTTAAAAAACTGAAAGTCTTTGTCTAAACTGACTGTGTCTTTTCCCATTCGCCTAGATGTCCAAGAGGGATGAAATGATCGATCGTCTGAAATCAGAAACAACTTATCTGAAAGAGCAACAGCGGGACAAAGAGCGAGAGGTATCTTCAATTATATCAATCAACAGGAAACGTTGTTCGTAATAGTAGGGAGCTTTTTGAGCAACGACGACGGCGACGGCAACGAGACCTTCGAAAAAGCAAGAGGTTTAGATTAGCAAAGCAACAATTCTGGACGTTCATCACGTTTTTTCGTACATTTCTTTGCCGCCACTGCACGACTACGACGTGAAAAGGACGTAAACAAGCGACGACGAATTTTTCTTTCTCCATTTAAACTTGACTTCGGTCCCTAAGAGATCACCTCCAGGGAAATACGCCTACATTTGATATTTTCGGCGAATTGGAATAAAGGCAACAAAGTTTGAAAACGGGCGAATTCATTTTAAAAGTGACGTTTTCGCTGCCGTCATCGTCGTCGATGCTAAAGCTCCCTAGTGTCTCTTCAATACCGGGCGTTCAATACTTTAAATTTCACCATATGCTTTCGTCTAACCTTGTGGCTCCGCCTTCGGTTAGAGCACTGAAGATCTTACAGCTGCGCGTGGGACTGGCCGGTCTGTGTTGTGTCCAGTTGCATTATGGGCCTCCTTTGGGTAACAAATTTTGACCCAGCTTTCTTTGGAACTTCTTGACAGCCAATGAAACAAGTACTGGGTTAGAAACATTATGCTAGAAAATTTGGGCGTTATTCTTTGGAGCGTCGCCCTCAAAACCTCAGCATTATACCTAAAATTATGCTCGAAAAGTAGCAGCTGCTCGACTGATCTTGGCTATATTTGATGCCCTTTTCCATGCCTGCAGAATAAAAAATACCTCCATAAGCGTGAAACACAATATCGTATTGCACCAATTACAAATTTCCAAAACGTAACTGACAAATAATGCTCAAAAGCACTCAAAATGTCTTCTTTCAAAGGAACTCTCCATCTTTAGGATACTCTCTGATCAACTACATCTATGAAAACTGTCAGTCTTTATTCCACATAACCTTCCGGGTTTTATTTTTATTCTCCTGTTTCTAGATATCTCAGCAGCTGGACGTGATAAGCCGGCTTGAGCGTGACCTGAGTGAAAGCAGTCGTGATCTGGAAAACTTGAATGAGAAAGCATCTGAGGATGTGAGTGGAAAGGAAGGCGAACCCTTCTTAAATAACAATACTTACTTCCAGGATTAGAGTCTGATTCTGCTGCTCCGGAACGCACAAATCCCGCTTACATACCCTTCACGAAAACATAAACTCTCTATAGGGGATTACATCCCTTAATCGCAAAAATATCAAAAGTAACAGTATAGCCTTCTCGGAAATTCTCTAATTCACTTTCCTGGCATTTTGTTGATTTTATATGCATCTCATACGTGAAGTATTTATTTTTTTAACATAACACGTTACATATGTACTTAATTTGTTTTTATTGAAAAATTTCTTCTCAGTAACCGGCATGTGGTGGCCTTAATTCAGGAGTTATTTTACAGCTCTGCTTCTCGAAAATAAGAAAAAAGGCCGTTTGTAATCCATGACAATTTTCTCCATTTTTAACCACCCGTTATAGTTCATATACTTTTATTACTGCTTTGTATTTTTTTGTCACCAAACTAATATTTTGAGATTTTCTCTAACTTCAAGATAATTTTGAAATTTGTAACTTGAAGATTCAAAATGTCGTCAGATAGTTCATTGAGGCGCCACATGTGACTTGACGGAAGTTCTATTTTTTTTATATACATTTTTAGTATTTTTGTACTAATGCTTATCTGTGGTTTATTATTGATTCACATTTTTTGACATCTTTTAACTTATTTTAGAAAAGGATGCAGTTTTGTGCATTCAAGACCATATATCTTTCATGCATAGCTCTAGACCTGTTCTCAGTTCTTGGTGATTTTTTAAACAATTGAAAGCGACTTATATTGAAATTATATCTGAAAAATAAATATTGATGATCTTATTTGATATAGAGGCTTTAATAAAACTGGAATAATCAGTCAAAGCAACAATAATTTAAGACAGATGTATAAGTAAATGATTAATATATCGGATCCGATTAATGATTCTAACGCCTTGAAAGAAAAATAAAGAAATGTAAGGTATATTTTACCAATGATTCAAATAAATACGTTTTTTAGCAGAAGGTCTCCTGGTTAATTGTTGTCTTTAGAATGGCAACATTTTAAGACCATTTCTTCTGCTTTAGTTAGAAGTGATCGCCAAGTCTTCTTTAGCTTTTGCTGAAAGATATGGTCTTGAATGTTGTTGTGGTAACAAACTGCGCTTTTCGCGTAGCAAACAAACCTCTTGAACTTGTTTCTTTTGCTTTCCAAAGTAGCTCGTGTGGCATTCTCTAGTGATAAGCACATGAATAAGACCAAAGTTGAACGAAACAGTTCTCTAGAGTATTATCACATGACCTACATTGGGAAAACAAAACATTGACTACCTAAAGAGGTCTATTAGCCTTTCAGATCGCGCTTAGTAACATTTGGCGTCTGACGGAGGCCTCGCGTATAACCTATCTTATGGTTAGCGGACGTGAATTTTTTTTTTTTGTAGATTTACGTCGTGTACACTATTTGGACAATCGAAAGCGTTTTTTTTTGGCGTTTATTTCAAAGCCCTAGCTTTACCGTCATGAACGTACACAAAAAAAGTGAAATGAGATATCTTTTTACGATGTAAAGGTCTGAAATACAACAGCTTATTCTGTTCAAATAAGTCTGTTCGTGGACGATCACGATCCTCTAGAGTCCAGTTTGTATTTCCTTGTGCAGTTGGTCCCATCGGTCCAAAGCCTGTATCGTTCCCAGGATCTCTCTTCTTCTCGTTCAAAGGGACGAAAGAGACAGGGAGAACCTGGGTACTAGATTGGCCTTACACTATCATGAAAGCGTATAATCAAACTTTATATGCGCCCGACGTTGCTGTTTTTAGGTGGCAATGAGAGATAAGAGAATTAAGCAGCTGGAAGATGACTTCGCTGACACTCAACAGCAGTACACCGAATGCTATGATGAGGTTAGTCATGCGCAGTGTGAAATAACCTGCAATCAGGCGGTCCTTCTCCCTTTAAAATATGAAAAAGAGCGCCTGATGGCAGGTTAGCTGTGACACAGCGGAAAGGTGGTCAGCGTTTATTTAGTTTTACAAATACATGCCCCCATTATGTTTGGTAAGCTCTTCCGAGCTATATTTGAGAATGAACTTTCATTTTTGTGATTAAACATGATGGAGAATTCCCCCCGTTCTATGACTGGAGGGTAGTCGCTTTTACTACCTCGCTGGAAAATATTTAAAACAATGAAATCGTAGGAAGTTTCAGAAGAGTGCGATTTCCAGGTGAATGTAAATACGTAACTTCAGTAGTCGTTTTCTGCAACCCCGAGAACGATACCAAGTAACAGTTAAAAAACAGATTTCCCAGCCTACGTAACTACATAGACATATCTGCTACTTTTTTAATCTTTCCAAAACACCGAGAGAGTTCGGCGATTCTTGCAACCATTTCGTATTTTGCACTTCTATCTTGCGTGCGCGTGCGTTGGATTCTATGCGCGTTCTTGATTTAACATCACGACATTCAAGTGACGTCATAATTAGTTGAAAAAAAAAAAAGAAAACAGATAAACAAGAAACCTTAAAGTCCATCTGTGTAAGTGTACACATGGCGACCGCAATCCAGTTAGCGAGACATCATCACGCTCTGGTAAATTTACAAACTGAACTTTCTCAGTTGTTTAATTAATCATTTTTATATTAGTTTTTATTCGGAGTTTCAAAATTGCATCGCCTATTTAGTGGTTCACATAATCATTTTCTCGACGGTACCTCGTTTCCCTACTTTTCTGTAGCAGAGAAAACATTTTTGTTCCTTTGTTTCTTTTGCTTAATGTTTCCATTCTTCTTCTTTTACTTGAAAACCAAATTTCTGCAAGATTTGTCTGAGTTGAGACTTGCTTTTACTTGTCTTGAAATTTCTTTCCAAAAAAGAGACTCATTTGTTCCGACGAGTATGTTTTTATTTTAGCCACTGACGTATAGAAAGAAGCCTGCGTTTTGAAACTATGTTCCGGCAGATTGGTAAAGTCCCTGGCTTCTTCTTATGCGGTGGCATGAATTAAAGCGTTACTCTTTTACTTTAGTCCATATTGAAATATGGACAAAATTACGCAAAACGCCGTGTGATTTTTGAAATGTTCCAATGACAGCTAATGACCAAAGACCTCGCGTCACATTTGCGATGTATGTTTAAAAATCAAGCGTTTGTGTGTTCTTGTTCATGTATCTGCCGTTAAGCCAACCACGACTGAAAAATAATATTAAAACCATTGGAAGTAAGGGTACTAATTTCGGATTTTGTTTTCTTTAGCTTGTGCGCCAAGAGGAACTAATGGCAAAGCTTCGAGATGAAATATCGTCGTTACAAGATGATTTGTCTAAAGCCAATGATCAGGTATTATAATTAACAGTGCAACTTCCAGTGTTGTTAACAAAGGTTTTACTGTACTTCAGACGGGAAAGTTAAACCCGAGACTACCGGAAATATCTTTGAAAAAGAGCTGAAATCTAGTTAAATGCTGCTTTGCCAAATCTACAGAGAGCCACAGGATTAGCTGTTCAAAATTGTGTTAGGGGATGTTTTGGGTTTCGGGGTTCAACAAGGGCTAATCACATCTTCGAACTCCGGTAGTCTGATGCCCTCAAACACTAAGGGGTTTCCGAGGAAAAGAGATTCAACTTTCAACTGCAGTTAATGCCAGCTAATGCGAAGGTCTCACAAATAACGTGCGGGGAAAGTTCGTTAGATAGATGGTAAAACACGTTTTGTTTTTAGTTGGTGGATTCTGAAGAAACTGTTCGCAACTTGGAAATGGAATTGGCCATGTCACAGGAAAAGCACAGGATATGTACTCAAGAGGTAAATGCTTTATTAACGTTCTTCCGATCTTTCTGTTGTTTTCATTTCTTATATTACCCTTCTTATTACTATGCGTCAGGGACGCAGGACTCAGAGGTAACAAAATCATTGAGCGGGTGGGCGTGTGGAACCTGACTGTTACCCTTTAAATCATGGCTTGTTTTTTTCTCCTCTGTTTTAACTTTTAAAAATGAAAATGCTGTTAGAAAGGGGAGTAATGGTAGTTGAGAGCATTCGCCTTTCCCCAGTGTGGCCCAGGTTTGAATTCCGTAGCGACGCCATTCGTTTAAGTTTATTTTTCAGTGCTTCTCGCCCTTGTTCTTGTTCCTTGTTCCGCCTTTGTTTCTCCGGATGCTCCGGCATTCCCTTTGCATAAAGTTACAATCAGTTCGATGAAGATTAGTGGACGAAAAAAAACAATGTGGGGTTGTTTTGCCACAAGATCATTATCTAATTATTTATTTACTCGCAAAGTACATAGCTTTAAACTTTTGCATACGTTATCGCAACGCAGGTCGCCAAGCGGGACGAGACAGTTCTGAGCCTGCAGTCCGAGCTGGATGCAACCCAACAGGAGTATGAGACGTGCAGTGCGGAGCTTTCAGAGAGAGAAACAGAAGTAGCGGAAATGAAAACAAAAATAGGGCAACTGGAGGCAGAATTAAAAGGCTTAAAAGCGCAAAGAGAAAGTAATGAATCGAAGGCAAGTTATATGATAAAGTGATGGTTTTTGTTATAATGTTCTCGGTGATAAACTGTCCTTTTTCAAGAGAAGACCTCAGCATTAAATCGTTTTAATGAATCAGTCCTTTTCAAGAGAAAAAAAAATCTTCATCAAACTGAATAATTGTTTGGCTCTATTGGTGACCTAACAGCCTCTGAAAAAAAAAACATGACTGAATGGGAACGTGAGAGTGCGCTTAGAGGACTGAACGCGAATGCAGGTGCTCAATTTTCCGCACTGCCATGGTCATTTTTTAAAATGAATTTAGGTCTGCGCACGCCTTCGTCACAGTCATTAAATCTACCAAATACAACCTTTCCAAAACGGCTGTTTACATGAGCCGGGCTGGCTGGCTTTGCCGAGGTGAATTTTATCTTGGCAATTACTATGATCCCGGTATCACGCTATCTCGATACCGGTCGGAATTTCAGCTAACCGGACTGGCTGGGTTGTCATGCAAACACGAAGTTGATTTTCATTGCGTTAAATTCACTTGCCGCGGTCTTGGTAAAGTGATGCGCTCACTGATGTAACTTACTCGCTATGAATGCTTTGTTGGAACTGAGGCGATGTTACACGAGACTATTTGCGGTTTTAAGACAAAACATGTTGGCGCGATGTAGAAACAACTCGAAATAATGTTTCACCAATGTTGCAACGCTGTGTTGCGCGCTGAAAATCGTCGCTACAAATCGTTCCATTCAACGTCACCTTAACATTTTCAAGCTGAAGTTTAGTTTCTGCTTTATTGATATATTTTTATAGTATTACGTTGGAACGTGCTTTAATTAATAATAAGCCTTTTTTTGTAAAGATAGGTGTCCGGTGTTTTCCCCCAAAATTAATGACATCTTTTCTCGTTGGCTGCCGTTGTGGATAGGTTCGATAGCATAATGTTATTTGTTTACAGAATAGTGTTCTTCGTTTACAGATGGACAGCGATGAGAAAGAAATAAAACAGTTAAATACTGACAAAGCTCGACTTATGCACGAGGTTCAACGATTGATGCAAACTATCGAACATCTTGAAAATACTATGAATGATTCTGAGGAGGGACATTTGTCAGAGGTAAATTATGCCAGTCTTACCCCCAGCGTAAATTACTTTCCTTCTAATTAGGGTGAACAAATCCATTTGCGTTAGTGAGCTCAAGCAAAGACGTTTTTAAGCGACACACGTGAACTGGAAATGGACTTCTTGGGTTCTTGGGCAATGCTTTCACCTAAATGTTTGGGCAAATGGTCTCTATAAGAATAGCTTCATACCTTTTACATTCATAAGAATTATTTTTTTCCAGTTTTCATCTGCTGACTTTCTAATTCGAAAAATTGTTTAACTTGAATCTCAAGTTGACCGTTTGCAAACTCTGTATTGCTCTATTCTGTTCATGTTGTTGTTGATTTTGATGTCTTGTTTGTCTGTTTTTTGTTTTTTGCTTCTCCATTGTCAAGGCGTCAAAAGGTTTGTTAATTTCCCCTCAGTGTGAAAGATTGTTTCCTTTCATTGCAGATTAAACGGCTCAACACAGAGATAGACACCCTTGGGGCTAACCTCACTGAAGTCATGCAGAAAGAAAACGATACTGCTAACAAGGTGAGGTATTACGGTTCTCATCAGCCTACTGAAGGTATACAAATACCGTAAACTGCCGCTTATTGATAAGCTCCTTAGTTACAGGCCTATCTACCTATAAACAAAAAAATACTTCTGGTTGTAAGCCCCCCCCGGATATAAGCCCTTCTCCAGGTCCAATTATACCCCCCCACCCGCCTCTGAATTCGATTTATTATGACGTTTTGAAGCTTAGTTAAAAACTAGTAAACGTAAAACGTAATTTCATCAGAACTGCTATATCTTGTTTCGAACCACTTTTTCTATTCTGGTTATAATCCCCCTCGGATATAAGCCTCTCCATTTATAAGTCCTCCTGAAACCCCTTACGAAGATGTATAAACGCAGGGCTTCTAATAAGCAGCAGTTTACGGTATATATAACGGAGTGTGGCAAAAGAAACATGTGGAAAAACCTAGAGGGAGAAACGCACGCCCCTCCGTCTCTTTTATAGTGCTCACTGAATGTCTTCCTTTTTTGTGCCATCCACCTTCCTTTACATTTTTTTGAGGCTTGGCTTGTACTGGCTTTCATTTCATGATCAGCGACTATATCTGGAGTAAGCCCAGATAGTCTCCATCTTATGTATAACCTCGGATAAGGACGAAAAACTATAGGTCCTCTCTCACAGCACTTTCACTTATCTGGTTCTTGAGGGAAGTAATAGAACCCACACCACTGTTCAAAAAGAGTAGGGAACGTAAATTGGGGCCCCGCTCTGTTGAGTGTTCCGCTGCATATGGTTGAAGTGATAATGAAAAATAATGAATAAATAACAGCTGCCCTATAGTCGTTCATCTCGAGGTATAGCCTTATTAATTAGGGACCTTAGAAGCAACCGAAGTCAACGGCGAGTGCACAGGAAAATTCTTTACTGCACGTGCGTTTTATGTTTGCGATAACAAACACCCAATGGCGACATTAAAGATTTGCGTAGAGAGTGAACATAGCCCTGTGTTTTACTATTTAGTCGTAAATGCTTTTTCTCGGGGCCTAACGATATAGATTTCAAATAACTGATAATCTTGAACGGTAGTGACCCTACCTTCTTATCCAATGCCTTTTCTAAGCTCCGAATTAAGCGAGCCTGGGCTTCCTGTATAGAATAGTTTCTTATTTTAAGCCGATTCAGTAGCTATCGAGACTGCAGTTTTATTCCACACTCTAAAATTTCGGAAAGGGAAAGTTTAACTTGTGCAAGTCAGCCATTTCAAAAGTTTTGCTAATGACAAAGTCAATTCAAATTTCAGCTACAAGAAGAACGCGAGACCAATAACAAGTTATCCCGTGAGTTACAGCACAACCAGAAATTGAATGACGAATCTCTTGAAGAGGTGGGTGAAAATGCACGAGGAGTTTTATAAAATATGTCAGGGTAAAATGTATTTGATGTTTTATCCATTGATGAACGAGTATGCGTCTTTTCAGTACTATAATGATATTTAGATATCACAACTCTGTTATTTACATATTTTTGTTCAATGCTGTAAATGCTTAGCGCGCTGTGATTGGTCGATGTCCATGCTCTGCTAGCGAACTCACAATTTGTGGTAAAAACTTCAGTGACACACTCGCCTGCGGCTCGTCTGCCACTTTTTTGTTCTTACCACATTTCGCCGTCATCTGTGCATGATCTGTTTTTGAACAGAAGCGGCAACATGGACTCTGATTGTTTAAGATATACCAAGCAAACATTACGTGGGTTTTAATATCTCGTATCTTCCTTCTATGGATGGGTGCCCCACTGTTAAACCGAACCATCCTTATTTTCCACACGGCACATTACTAAACCTTTTCAACCTCGCCCTTATGTAAAATAAGGTGGATTTTTTAGTTAATCTCTTGAGCATGTAATTATTTACCTTGACGCCCTCGTTGCCTAACTTATTTCATTTTACAGATCGAGCGTTTAGAACAGAAAATCAGACGTCAAGAAAAGGATTTAGCAGAAACAAGCAATCAAGTAAGTCAAAGAGGAGAACATATTTCAAACACTGTAAGTTTAAAAAAAACAGGGCCAAAACAGTGTAGCTAAGTTGATTCTTTGATTTCAGTGTTTAATATTTCAAAATTTGTTACGTTTATATTTTAGGCCTCGAGTTTAAAAGAAAAGCTCAAAGAAATCGAGTCACAGAGCCATCAGCTACAGAAAAACATTAACTATTATAAAAGTCAATTCAATCAAAGCGTTACCCAGGTAATAAGGAAATATTATTTTTGTTCTTTTCTAGTCTCTTTATACTACTGGTAACAATTCAGTTTCCTTTTCCGGCTTTACCTGACGAAGACGTCTTTTTTCTTTTGATTTTAGGTCAATCGATGTGAATCCACGATCAAAAATCTGGAAAGAAGTCTTAAAGACGCTCAAGAACAGGTAAACTGTCGCACCGCGCGATTTTAAGTTTAAGAATTTGGTTGGCAAAATTTAAACTCGAGTTTCTTAAAGGTGTTCTGGAGTTTACATGAACAGGGAAAGTTGAGACGTGAGGGCTTCGTGTAGGCAATTACGCTGATCGAGGAGGGTGTTATCCGCCGAACCCGAAGACTGAGCTGTTGTGCCTCGTGCAATCCCTCTCTCTCTCAACAATTATCGTAAAAGTGACTCAGTTTTAAAGAAAACTGGTCTCCCAACCTAATGATCTTTTTTTGAATAAAGAAGATGAGGCTTTAGGAATCGAAACATGCTATTGGGATTCTCTTCTCAGCCTCTTGTTCAGTAAGGTTAGCTTCTGGGAATCTTATGTTAAGTAACGGAGCTAGTAGAATTTTGTCTATTTCCATTCTCCACCAATGAGATTTGTCGTGACCGTTTTTAGGCTGTGAAACGAGAAGAGGAAATTAACCAACAGTCTCAAGAACTGGTTGAGTTGAGGAAAAATTACTCAAGTGAATCAGAAAAGGTGAGAGTTGTGAGATTTCTTTCTTTCTTTCTTTTTTTTTTCGAAAGCGATGAAATTGTTAAAACGTTTAAAAGGCCCCGCCAACACGTAATCCACGAGTTTTAAAAAGTGACCCAAATTTTTGACATGTTGACCTTTCGTCCACGAATCCGACGTTCACCGAAAACGTACTGGCTATTTGAAAACGCTTTTCAAAGTGGAAATTTTTGAAAACTCCATTGATCAAACATTGAGAGGAAAAAAAGTATAATCGTTATTACAATACCCGTTCTTAAACAGAAACGTCATTACTTGTGGATGGTCGAAGCGATTCGAAAAAGATTAGTGTGCACGCGAATTTTCTTGAAAACAGAAAAAATATACATGCTTTTTCAAACAACACGGATACGTGTGGATATGGCCTCACACGGCACCTGCTGTGAACTGTATTTCTCTGCGAAGCAACGGGATCTCAAACAGAAGCTACAAAGAACCCTTACGACAAAGTCCTGCACGAATTTCGCCTTTTGATGTATGACAACGATTCCTCTTTTTAGGCGGCCTGTCTTCATGACCTTGTATAACTAATACGCAAGGAGAAAAATTATGATGCTCTCCTGCTTGAAGTATTAAAACCTTTCCATTATTAATGACACGTGGAAATAAATTGTTCAAACGCAGCGCTTTTAACTTGACATTCTTGTTGAGCTTGCCGCTTTCGTTTGTCAATAGAACGCATTCAAGCCATTGTGTTTCAATTATTTATATTCATTATTTACGCTTATTTCGACGAGATTGTCTATTTTATCACCTGTTGCTAGCGTGTGGATTTAATGAAACATTTACACCAATGTCTAGTAGCTCTGATTTTAATTTATGTTTTTTTTTTTTTTACCAAAAAATCGTCAAAAACGAAGCAACTGATTCTTTTTCAATCGTGTGGGAGGTCTAAGTCGCGCTCGGATTTCAACAAAGGTTCAAACCTAAACTAAAACTAAAAAGGTAACAAATATTAAGTTTGAACATTATCGGATTTAAAATTATGTGCGTTTTGATTTTTTGTGTAAAAGCCATCTAAGCGTTTTACAGCTTGTACTGCCAGCGTATGTGACCGTTTTTTTTTTGGAACAAGTCCGTTTAAATCTCTCAAAGTTGTTTTAGGTGTTTGAACGGTTTCTTGTCTGTTACAGTGCTGAACATTGTCACTTTGCTTTAGAATCAGAAACAAAGTAACGCTATGGAAGAACTTGATAGAGAACTACGTCTGGCACAAGATGCTTGTCAAAGATTGAAAAGCCAGGTAATATAAGTTTGATATTGTCTGCTGTATTTTGGTTCTTGCGTCCATGATCTAGACCGTAAACCTCGATCTAAGTCGCTCGTGAGTAGAAATCTCGCCGGCTATACTAATCCTTGGAGTCAGATTACAAGCATTCACTGTTGATCTCATTTTTCCTTGTACGATCTGTATGGAAAGCTCTCCTCTACCAATTTTATAGGCATTACTTTTTACTTTGAATTTATTTCCTCGTACTGCCTCCTCTTTTGGCAAAATGGAAGCTTTTTTATCCCTGTTGTCTGTGTACTTCGTTGAATTTCTTTAAAATGTTCCTACAATTTTGTTCAGTTTCGGGTGAATTCACGCCGCAGATGGAAAGCTTCGAGAATAGCTACACAACCAGCTGTTTTGCTTATTCAAAATCATGTTTGTTCTATATTTCTGTGAAGGTTTTGTTGTAGCAATACACAACCTAATTTGCGGTTTTTAATTGCAGGTCTCGCATTGTGAAGACACTATTCACAGTTTAAAACAAAAGCTCTCGGACAAGCTGAAAGAGGTAGGTTGAACTCCACGCCGCTTTATGACGATAAATGAGTTTTACTTTAAGCTACAGTACACATTCAAATTAAAGCCTTGAAATGGGTGCCAAAACAGCGTTATCCACAAAAATGTAACCAGTGCCCTTTTTATTAAGCTATGCACTTCATTAAGATTATAATTGCAATAAATAAATATAACTATTAAGTAATTAAGGAGTTTATTTTTTAATTTGACAAATTCATATCTAGGCAAGGGCTTAGCCTGTGACGCAGACGTATTTCCGGTAGTCACTTCTCTCCACCCGAGATACGTCTGCGTTTATACAAAAGCAAGGGCAAAGCCTGTAGTCTTCTACGAATACCGATAGGATCAAGATTGAGCCTCCTGATTGTTTTTTTTTCTGTGTCGGATTTAAGTTCACTGTCTGTAAGTTTCATCAAGGATTTAGTTATTGGTTTACACCAGACTTTAGCTCGCAATCTATGAACTGATAGATGCTAGCGAGTACATCAGCCAATCAAAATGCGGGGTTTACCATAGAATGTGAGGAGAATTTTACTAACCATTACTTCATTTATAGGGAACTGCACAAGATGATCGTGTTCGACACCTTCAAGAAGATTTGAATGCATCGAGAGAAAAATACGAAAAATCGCTTGGGGAGGTACAGTTTGTCAGTAAAGGAAGTAGAGAGTTTGTTTCACTTGGAGAAATCATGAAAGTATTCGATGTGGTGATTTGTCTCTTTCGCCATCGTTCTTTGGGTCGTCACGCAACGTTCTTTCCGTTGAGCGTTGCGTGACGACACAAAATAGGTCAAGTTGGAGACTAAGTAGTAGTGTGACACCTCTTTATTGTGGTGACATATTTTAGGTCCAAACGAAAGAAAAGAGTGAGCAAAATGGGCAAAAAGAGTGAATTATAGGGAATCCGAAATAGTCAATATTGTTTAGAAGTGATAAGCAATACTGCATTATGTAAACTTCATAAGGGTTCCAAGGGTTTTTAACCCTATTGGATCAGTAAAACACTTCTGAACCACTTCTTTAGGTACGCCATTGCATTTTATGTGATCATATAAATGCTGCTGTATTATAATAAACGCCTTAAATAATAAGTTTGTGTCGCCAACAATTGCTGTTTACTTGTATTATTGACTGCATTTGCTACATCTTCCGTACTTGCATTTGCTAGATCTCAGAAAAGGAAGAGAAAATACGAAGTCTTCAAAATGCGATTCTTGCTGAGAAGGAACAACACGCTCAAAGGGTGCAGCAGGTAACTATGTTTTTATCACAACGCTATTTCCCTGGGCCCTGCACAAACTGCTCTTTTTAATCCCTTTCCCATTTATAATGCATTTGTTTCACTTTTACCTTCTGAAAATAAACGTTAATAACAATTATGGTCATAAAGGTTGAAAAAGCGTCTCTGAAATTAGCGGGGTAAATTTGCGCAAAGTTTCTTGGTTTTGATTGTAATGCAGTGGCGGCTTCATTTTTGCTGTTTCCTTTTATTTTTAATCAAAACTTCCCACTTCTTAGTTTTTCTAAGCCTGCAAACACAGTCGTCCCTCCTCGCTCGTCGCGTCTCTAGCGTGGTGCGGAGAAGCAAGGAGAGACGGGCGCTGTATTCGCAGGCTGTTTTTCCTCGCCTGAAATGGAATGCACTTTTGATAAAACCAGCTTTATGTTAATTCTACTTCTGTCCTGCTTGTCAAGGTAACTTATTATGAAGAGCGAATGCTGGAAGTGGAAGACGAGTTAGGTAGAGTGAAGGAAGACAGAAGGCAAGCTTCAATCCAGGTGAGTGTATTCAAGCTTTCAATATAAGGCTACAATTCTTGATTCTGTCTTGATTCCCGTTAATCTTCGGGATTCATTCGTAATTGTCAATGAATGAACAATTCAATGACCCTCAGACTCTGTTCACACTAGTCCCGTATAGCTCTTGCGCCGGCACGAAACCAAACCGGATAGGGATTCTGTTCACACATAAGAACCGTGATTTTGGTTCGATATCTGTAACGGAGAGAAGCTGCGACGCGCCGATCTCCAAGGTGGAGCGTCACATATCGGATAGGTTCTGTGCCACAGTTTGGTGCAAAGTTAACATCTATTCGGACCATAGCGGAAGTGAATAAGCAAAAGCGAGGAATGAAATCCACTGAGACGGAAGTAAATATTCAGTATTGAGGACTGGGATTTAGTCCACCAAACCCTCTCGACCAACTGCTCGGGTATGATGTTCGATGTGTGTGAACAACTTGTTTCAGTTCTGTCGTTGCTGTTCATACTCAGCACGATTTAATAACCATCTGGTATAGTGTAAACACAGCCTCAATTATGTCGGAAGTGGTCCTTTTTTGCCACCGTATAGACTGATCCTCGGTCATTTACTAGATCAATTTAGGTTTCTGGGAAACCGCCCACCTACCCATCCCATAAGACATCATTTTGCCCTAAGTGAGAAGTAAGTGTTAATGTTAGCTTAGGGGAGGGGTAGGTGGGCAGTTTGCCAGAAACCTAAATTTATCCCATTTACTCATAAAGGAGGTTGAGGGTGCCTCTAATTTCTAAAATGCGAGGAGCTCTTCGTTTATTCCGACACCGTCAAAGGGTTTTCGCTTGGTTAAAAGCCATTATCCTACATCATTAAGGTGCCACATACTTCACGCTTTCAATGTACATGTTGTGGTTCAATTTTATCCTTGGAGTTGAATTTAATTTTCGTTTGTGGCACACTCATTGTCATACATTACCATACCAAAAACAAAGGAGAAAAAATTTAAATAACGATAACATTGACCCACAACATATACAAGCTCTTCTCTAAACTTACCCACCTTGACCTAAAATTTCATTTCTGCACTTGCAGATTACTCGAAGTGAGCAATTGAATCAGCAGTTTCAGAAGGAGGTTACCAACCTAAAACAGAAGAGCAAAAACGAGGTGACTATTTTTTTAAACATTTAAAAATTAATGCTTTCAGTCTCAACTCTAGCGTACCTGACGTATTTTGGTCGTACGTTGAGAGAAGCGACGACCAGAAATACGTCTGCGTTCGCTCACCTGCGATCAGGCGGTTCTTCTTCCCTTTTTCTTAGGGAGACAGGAAATTGAGAAATTAAAGAAAACTAAAGAACAACGTCTTTTTTCCCTTTGACCGTTCCTCTTCCCCGAAACAAAAAAAGAACGCCTGACCGCAGGTCAAGGTTTGCAGGCTATCTTAACTCTAGTTGTCCAGTGATTTCCCCCTTTTCCAGTTTACCTTCTTTGTTGTGGTGGTATGTTGTGCGTTTCCATCTCTTTATAGCAGAATATCTAAATATTTGAAAATCCCAACTGTTCCGCGTAGGTGGGCCAATTCAGTGATTATTTACTTGTTGTTAACAAGGATGCTGAACACAGGTCTATCATGAGAAAGGAATAATTCCTTTCCCTTCAAAGAGGTGTTTGAACGCAAGACTTTTTAGAACTTTTGATTGCAGCGCTAAGGATCTCCATTTCTCATACATCATAAAACGTGCGGTCCCCCTACACTTATTTATGCGTACCATTAATTATTTCTTTTAAGATCGCGAAAAAGGAGGAGATTGTGCGACGTCTGGAGGGCGATATAGCGAACTTACAGGAAACAGTCAAAAGCTACGCTGAAGAGGTGAGACAGAGCTGCTTTACTATCAATGTAAGACTAATTCACTCTGATGCATCCATTGCCACGTTTGAACAAGAGAAAAGATGGCAATTACATTTACGGTTTGGTTGGCTATGACGTTGAAATGACTCGAGATGGCGTAGGTACAATCCGGCAATGAAATGCGACATATATGTCGTGGTCTAATTTTATCCATGGTTTATATGTTATTTTTCTTTGTTTCTGGGTATGGAAAAGTATTTAAATGACTTTGAAACACAGAAAAATGAAATTTAAACCAAGTATAAAATTAAACCACAACATATACTCCTATTCTCGTATAGTCGGTCCTTTCCCGATTCTTTTTCCGAGGGGACAGGGCGGCTGTACACAATCTATATCTTGTGCTTCATATTCAGTCAGTTGCAACCCCGTATTAACCCCGTACCTCAGCTGAGGGTACTTTAATTTCATATGAACTTCTCAATGTCAGCGCGCACATGTAACGTTGTATCTTTGTTTTTGATTTTCATTTGAACGTTACATTGCGCGTGCTTTCAGTTGCTTTTACACCACTGAGGAAGAAGGAGCACCCTCAAAATGTCTGGTTTTTTCCCACCTTTTCAAC